AAAATTTATAAAAATAGTAGCATCCTCTGGAGGATAGAGCTAAAGTTTGCTCCTTCCGATTATTTATTCATTTATTTCAGGTAAACCTTATAGAAGAAGAATTCTATGTTAGTCTTGATCTTGATTTTAATTTTCCAAGGAAACACATCACAAAGATTCAACATCAGTACTTGGATAAACCCATTTAGGTTCAGTCATTGTCAGCTTGAACCCCCTCGATTTTCCCAGGAAACGAACAGAAAAGGTGAGGTTAATCCAAATCAAGAAGCCAATCAGAATGTGAAACAAATGAGAGTCAAGGGGCAACCCTAAAGTCAATAGTAGCAAGTGATGACTCATTTGATATGCTTGTGAAGACGCGTACCAACATTCTTGAATAGAATAGAATTATCCATATCAATCTTTTGGTCGGCCCAATACCAGGCCACAGCTTCCCCTTCATCTATTCCCAATTTCCCACCAACAAGAGAAAGTAACGTAAAATATTTTAGACCACCTTTCCTCCTAACTAACTAACTAACGAACGACTAATTGAAGGCCTTAAAATTCGAACAAGAAGATCGTTTTCTTTGACCCTCACATTTGGTTGGCCTTAGATCTTGTGACACTTGATTTTTCGGTGGATTTTGTTTTTTTGGGCGACTAATTTATGGTGTTACATGTTAATGATACATCATCATACATGCTATGCTATTTTACCATGCATTTGCTAGATTTCATCTTCTTCTTTTTTTTTTTTTTCAGGATTTGGCAGACTTGGGCCACTTTCACATGGACTTGGACTTTGACTTTGACTTGTGCCATGGATTAGGGTTTGGGCCTTCACCCCATTCGGAAGCTTCTTAGCAATCTTTGAAGGATGATAAAACATGGATTAGGATTTGTTTCTCTCAAGAGTTGTACTGTTTTTGAAAAAATCCCAACGCAACTAGCTAGGGCTCAATTAAAGAGTCCGGGACAGTTTTAATAATTGGAGAACACTTTACTTTGCTTAGAAGTATCCTCATCACGGTAGTATCCTATTCTAACTTGGAGATATCGATGACATAAAATACGATTTGGAGAAAGAGGTGACCTAGCAAAGAGTCGTTCAAGGATGAACATGTTAAATTAAATAGGGCAAATATTCAATTATGCTTATATCTTTATTCTTTTCCAATATGGATGTATTTATAAAGAAGTACAATGTTAATTAAAATAGGAAATAAATCTAAATTACAATATGAAATCAATCTCAATTACAATATGACTAAATAAATGGATAAGTAACCAAAATCCTAACTAAGTAAGGAACCAGAATTCTAACTAAATATGGACTCTCCAATAGAACATGATCACTATATATATGTAAATTCAGTGCAAGAGAGATTTTGAAGATGGTGTACGTCAAGAAAGCTTACTGACGAGAAGAAGAAATATATATATATATCGATCAAATCAATGGAATTTGAAGACGAGGTTGGTATTTATTATAGGTCGTCGTACAAACCATCGATTAAGAAGGAAGTAGATGAGACTGCAACATCAGAGGTTTATGGGGAAGTTGAAGAAGAAGTATATGGGGTTGAGAGGAGGTTGAAAGAGTTGAAGAACTTTGATGAGCTTCCTAACACTCCTTTTAATCATCACTTCATCAACAAGCCATATAATATAAAAGCATCGCTAGCCGAAAGGATTCAGGGAGAATGGGAATCAATAAGACAACTTCCCCCAAGTTCAATTTTGGTTAGGGGTTATACTTCAAGGATTGATCTTATGAGAGCTGTGATAGTTGGTGGAGGTGACTTCATACGTCTTCCAAAACGTGACAAGATCAAGATACTTGGTCGAAAAGGTGTCGTGGTAGTTGATGATGATCGAGAAGATGACGAGATGATAACTTGTCGAGAAGGTCCTCCTTATCACCAAGGCTTGTTCTTCTTCGACATATTCTTTCCAAGCGATTATCCGACAGAGCCTCCCCAACTCTTTTTCCGCTCTTACGGCCTTGATCTAAACCCTAACTTGCCCAAAAATGGCAAAGTTTTGCTTGACGCCAATCTACAACAGTCAAACATATGGGACACACTTGTTTCAATTCGGGAATTGATTCTCGTGGATGGTATTGATCGTGACAAAGAGAAATCTTTGAAATTAAGGAAAAGGGTTTTTGTGCAAACTTGGGAAGCCATGCTGCATATGTTGGAGTGCCCACCTCTCCATTTTCAAGCTTTAGTTTTGGGGTATTTTCGAGTAAGATCTCATCAGATTCTACTCGACTATAAAACTTATGCAGATGTTCAGGATCCGGCGATGAAGTTGTTATTCTTCAAGCTTGTGAAGGCCTTTGAAACTAATGGAACTTATTGCCGACATCATTATAATCAGAAGGAGTATGATTTGGCATTAGAAAAAAAGAAGCCTTCAGAAGATTACAGCAATAATATTCGTAGTTTTTGGTCTCTTCACTAAAAATATAGAATAAAGTGAAGATTTTACTGTAATAGCTACGCTTGGTAGGTCTTATGTTTTTATTTTTATTTTTAATTGTCTTTTGGGTTTCGTTATTAATTGTTGATGTTGTTGAAAACAGGTTTAATTTGCTTTAACTTTTATGTCTGCCTCTTTACCACAGGTCATTATGTGCGATGAACTTTTACATGAACAAAGCCCTAAATGCAAGTTTTAATTCAAACTACCATGTGAAGTTTATGAACAAATCTCACATTGCGTAAGAAGTTAAAGCGATAGACCAATGTTTTGCATCTTACTTTGGCCCTCACCTTCAAGTATGTCAAAAAAAACTCGTTAAAAACACTAACGTGGCACTAATGGAACCCACTTTTCTCGACCTAGCTGCAATCGTGGCTGTGAGATTATTCAGGTTGACTCCAACATGTAGTACTTAACATGAAATAGCGATGAAGAAATCAGGCCTATAAGCTACAGTGAATAAGCATTGCATATAGCAGCATAAATACTCTTCCTAAGCTCACGGAGACATTGATTGCTCACTCCTTGGTTACAAGGGCAACAGTGTGTTGCGTGGGTTATTCTCTTATGATAAGAGACTTACTCCATGGACCACATAGCCAACACCTACTCATCATTACGAATTTATGTAAAGGAAAAAGAAAATTAAGAACAAAAAAGTTATAATTTGGCAAGACGGAGACATGTCAACAAGCTATATGTGACTAGTTGCAAAAAAATATTATGCACAGTTCATTTTGTGTTTTTGCTTTTATGGTCAATCAATTTTCAAAGAATTATAAAAAGAAGACCAAAATTTCTGGCAGGCAGATCAATCAAAACTCTTTTAATTTTAATAAATAAAGACTTTCGATTAGAAATTTAACTACTATGTGTTTGTTTGACATTATATGGCCTTGAAAAATTAAGAATGATAATCAATAATAAGGCATTGTGTGACTAATACTATATAGTCTATTAATTAGGGTTAGGATAATCCATGTGCATAGCCGTCACAAACTTTGTTTGTTTTGTAAACCGGGTTTATTTGCCAATTTATATGTAATCACCAACCAAGGGATGACAAGAAGATCCAGAACACTCTACATTCCTATCCAATTGTTCAATATATATAATTAGCATAACCATAATTATAATTATAATTAAGTAGCTTGCTAGCCCCGGCCACAGATGGTGAAGGTGCACAAGACCTCCTGCTCTAAATCTTGCCACGTTGCATATTCAGAACCATTCGATCTATGGACTTGGATAGTGATGGCCAGGTAACTATATCAGTTTGCTGGATCTGCAACCGCATTTGCATGTGCATCATGTTCTCTGGCTCATGCTTAAGCTTTGCTTGTAGATCAATGGTGGGGATAATTGGTTTGGAGGGGAAAAAATTAATCGAACCAATTATTCAAATTCTCGAAATACTTAGAAGGTTTTGGTTTTATTTATTTATGGTAATCTCCAATCCAAGTGAACTAATACTGCATGCATGCATTGCTATATATATATATATATATATATATATATATATATATATGCATACTTTGAATTATTTTGCTGAGAATTAAACAAGAAATAATAAAAGGATTTTTCCAATGCATGTGTCCAACAATATATCTCAAGCCTGGTATATATATATATATATATATCTCCACCGAAAGTGCAAGTGACAGACAGAAGATGCATGCATCATTGTCTGTGAGATTGTCCGAGTTTTAAGTTTGGAAGGGGTACCATGATACAGAGACATGTTACAAACATGGCTTAGGAATTGTTTTTTCTAACAAGTTTGAGACATCAATCATCAGTTTGATGCAAAATGGGGTTCATGAATGTCAGAACTAAATCTACCTTATCCCAACATTAAGATCTAATTTGTCCACCAATTCTAACATGTTATGTGCAGGCACTCCCAATTCCTTTTAGTTTTATTTATTCTAGGTTTCCTGCCTGGAAACAAGGCCTAACCACCATGAAAAACCCTAGAAAAGTTTTTAGGCCATGTTGATTTGAGCTGGAATGATGAGGAGATTAAGGACCCCCAATTTGCATTATATATCTAAGTAAGCATTGAATTTGGAAAGTGGGAACGAAGAATAATCCAGGGTGTTTTTCGTGGGATAGGCGTGATGAAAGGTGGTGGTGGTTTAAGAAGGGCTTCTTAAGAATCATGTGGTTGCATGTGCATAAGTTGGAGAACATGCCCAAAGCAACAAGCATTAACAACACCAATAATAATATATGTACACTTGGCATCATCCCATTCATTTATCCCCATTCCCTTGGAGGAGGCCTTCTATGAAATTGTCTTGTGGCCCCTACTTTTGCCTTAATTAATTAATTAATACACATAATTAACTAATCTGTATTATCCTTAATGGCCGCCAACCCAGTTACCAGCTAACACCCTATAAAAACCCTTAATTATGCCATTTCTGCTATAGCAGCTATAGTGTTTTGGCTTGCATCATCATAAGGATTTCTCAAGGAAAGCTAGCTGGTGTGGTTTTTTTTTTGTTGAAATTAGCTCCTGAATCATGGGTTCTCAGCATCCTCTTCTTGTGTCCCTTGATTTGAAGGGCATGGTCCTAAAAAATGAGGCAAAGTCCTACACAAAGTGGAACAAAGTTAATATGATCACAAGAACACCCAAAAGAAGAAGGATATTAAAGAAGAGGGGGACAGGAAGACGCCTCCAAGGTGCAAGAAGGCGCTGCAACGGGATCCAAAGAAGGGTGAAAACCTTGAAGAGACTGATCCCAAACACCGATTCGTCGACGGGGTTGGATGGACTCTTCAGCGAGACAGCTGATTACATCTTGTCCTTGCAAAGTAGAGTAAGGCTCTTGCAAATTATGGTTCAGGCATTGGCACCTGCTTCTCATCATGATGAGTGACTCATTCATTTCTGTAAAGAATAGTATTCTTTATTTTTTTTCAATTCTTTAAAAGCTCTTTTTTTCTTTTTCTTTTTATTATTCTTCCTGTTTTTCTTCTTGTGATTTAGTCATAGAAGAAACTGTTTGGGTTTGGGAAGTCCAGAGTACATGCATGCTCTCAGGCTGTCTACAGTTTGTAAAGAGCTTGGTCATTTTATTGTGTGGAAAAAGTAAGTTGACGATAAGTGGTTTAGTGAATATTTACTCTTTAGTTTATTTGTGAATAGCACATATGTATTTTCTGGGAGATTAACGGTTGGCACGCAATTCCAATATGTTTTTTTATTTTTTTGGGGCAACCAACTTATAATTGCTGAATTATGGATTTGATTAAAGCTCACTTGTGGTGCATGGTAAAAAAAAGGCTGACTCTATGGTGATTGATGAGGCCAGTTTTGATCCCAAATTGTAACGTGGGTTTGACTTTTATATCTTAGAACATCTGGCCATGGGAGTCCAAACATGCAAATATAAATTAGGTATCTAGAGTGACAATTTTTTCCATCAAAATAGCTTTCGTTAAATTAATTAAGTACAACTAAGACAATCTACAACACAGTCATAATCTCCGAATTCAAAAGAATAATAAATCCAACGAGTCCAACCATGCAAATATAAAGTGGACAAAAGGCACACAAACAACTGAAAATCACACATAACTAAAATTAAGCGTGATCCCAAACTAAGCCTACCCTAAAATCACCCTTTGGCCTAAATGAGCAATAACAAAACTCTTTTCTTTAGTGTCAAGTTAAGACAATACCCCAATGTCAATTTGAAAACACTTGACTGCATATCCTAACTTTATATTACATTGAAATGGATTTGAGTGTAAAACGTAGGGTTGGGCAAAAATAATCGTTGAACTGGTCAATCAAGCTGAATCAGATTATTATTAGAAATATATATAAATATTAACATATCAGCCCCAATGCTATAGTAGTGAAATAGAATCGGATGCACGAAACTCTAGACCACAATAGAAGTTGCACATTCAAACCCTAGAGTTGCTCGATTCTTTTCAAAATCCAATCTATATCTATATATATAGCAAAAGGCAAAGAATGGTAAAAAATTTAAAATATTAGAAAATGTCCTTGGTTAATGCAAACATTAAGAATTGAAATTATTAATTAAATGAGGATAATATGGTAAATTCACACTTTTTCATACTAAAAAAAATTAAAATTAAAAGAAAAATCAGATAATAGATTCTATTTTTATGGAACACAACTACCCATTATATTTTTTAATTCCAAACTAAATTTAAAAGTTTTTTTTAAAGACCTCTCGCAAACGAGGAAGCGCGTATGGAGAGGCTTGTATCTATAAAGTATAAATTAATGCAAATAGGAGGGTGCTCTTTTTTTAAATTTTTTTTAATTAAATAGTATAGCAGCGCCACTATACATTTTAAATATAATGTATTTAAATGGTATAGACGTGCGGTTATACTATCATTTAAAAATAATAATAATAACTGTGTGGCTATACGTATTTTGACACGTGACACCTAACCGCTAGGGGGTCCCTTTTTAAAAAAAATATGGTACAGTCGTGCGATCGTACGGCTATACTTATTTTGACACATGGCACCTACTCGATAGATGGGTCATCTCCTTTTTTTAATAATAAATAGTATAGCCAGAGGGCTATACTCGATTTTTGTATAAAAATTGTATAACTGCGCGGCTTTACTGGTTTTAAAAAAAATATTTTAATTGCCTTTAATCTATATCTATATATATAAAGCAAAAGGCAGAGAATGGTGAAACATTCAAAATACCAGTAAATGCCCCTGGTTAATGCAAATATTAAGAATTGAAATTATGAATTAAATAAGGATAATATGGTAAATTCATACATTTTCATATTTAAAAAAATTAAAATTAAAATAAAAATCAGATAATGGATCCTATTTTTAAGGAACACAACTACCCATAATTTTTTTAATTCTAAAATAAATTTAATTTTTTTTAAAAAAAGCCTCTCGCAAGCGCGGAAGTGCGTGCAGAAAGACTAGTATATATAAAACAAAAGGCAGAAAATGGTGAAACATTCAAAATACCGGAAAATGTCCTTAATTAATCCAAACATATCCAAACATTAAGAATTGAAATTATTAATTAAATGATGATAATATGGTAAATTCACATTTTTTTCATATTAAAAAAATTAAAAATTAAAACAAAATCATATAATAGGTCCTATTTTTATGGAACACAACTACCCATTATGTTTTTAATTCTAAAATAAAATTTAAAAAAAATACCAATTGGCACGTGTTATTAATAAAAGCCTCTCGCAGGCGCAGAAGTATGTGCGAAGAGGTTATAGTAAATTATAAAGTAGCATAATTGATATAAAAGATGGAGAAAATATTAAGCATACAAAGAAAAATATTTGAAATGAAAGGCTTGGCCTCTTTATCTAGCTCTTCGTCCTCTCCTCCATATCTCTCCAAGACTAAGTTTTTTTAAAATCCAGGAATATATATATGTAAAAAATAAAATTTTAATTATAAAAAAGAAAAAAAGAAAAAAAGAAAAAAGGGACCCAAGCCGCCCAGGCCGCCTAGGCGGGCGCCTAGACCGATTTTTCCTTTTTTTTTTTTTTTGAAAATTAGCGATAACGAACACTTCGATAGTGACTCCGTTCTCTTTTTATGTTATCCAACCCCTGAAAATCCACGAAACTTCCGCCGATCTTGGATTTTTCTCCTTCCCGTTCCACTCACAGTTGACAAACTTCAAGAGCTTCTCAGGCGAAGCGATGGCGGTGCCTCTCTTCAACCTCGCCCCCAATCTTACCGACTCTGAGTCTGATTCTTTGGCTCTCCCTCTCATCCTCAAATATAAATTCATTCTTCGCTAGGACGAAGACTTTCGGCAAGAAAAACACGTTTCCGACCTCGAGCAAGCTTTCCAGGCCGGCATCTCTGTAGAAATGTATCCAGTGGTTCAGCGAGCCCAGACTCAGGGGAGGAGCGAGGAGCGTCGTTTTGGCCACCAAGGTTGTAAAGTAGCTCTGAGAGTATCTGTTCATGCTAATAATGGTGTGCCAGCTTGCTTTTCACTTCTCATGTATGAAAATTTGTTCTGATATTACAGGTTACGGGACCGTCTGGGCAGATGACTTGGATACGAGATGACCCCAAGTGTTTGCATGCTAAGAATATCACCGAGGCCATTGACGGCAGGTTTGCTCAAGCAAACAGTTTGTAATTTTGCTTCTTTTTAAACGCTTCGTGTTATGCTGTGCTGAGTAATGAGTTATGTAATGTTTAAATGCAGCTTAAGGCGATTGCAGACAGATTACATTGGCCTGATCGGTTTGTATGTAGATCCTTCCTTTTAGTGTTTTGGGACTACACAATCCCTGTAGTAAGACTTGAACTGATTAATGACTGTTTTTGTAGCTATGTTCCCATGTTTGGAGAAATTGAGTATGATCCAATCCGAAAGTTCAGTTCGATTCCTATAGACGAACAACTTGATGCTCTTGGAAGAGCTGTTGATTCTGGTAAGGCTAGTTTCATACTGTTGCCTTTCTTCCCCTTTCTTTGATAAGTCATTTAGTTTGGTGACTTTTTCCTTTATTTTGCAATGTTTTAAGAGCATAAAATTCCCATGCGAATTGAAAGGAAAATTTTGTTTTGTAGATTAGATATGTTGGTCTCAGTAACGAAACACCATATGGGGTGATGAAGTTTGTTCAGGTAGCTGCTCGCCATCCAAAGATTGTCTCTGTGTAGGTTGTCTATTTGATCATTGCACTCTCAGTCAAATGCTTACTGTATTGTTGCTGCTGATTTTTGGACTAAAGCAACTTATTGTCGATTTGATAGAACTCATACAGCTTGCTCTGTCCAACTTTTGATTCTGGGTTGGCTGAATGCTGTCATCATGAGAGGTATTCAAAGTGTTGGTTTTCAGAAAAAGTGAATAGCTGAATAATTAATTATTTCATCCGGTATGAAATGATAAGGAAAGCTTGCTTGATTTGTGCATGCCAATTTCTTGATGAAGTTGAAGGTATGTTACTTTTCCTATCCTGTCCTGACTCCTGAGCAGTTCTTGAAGAAATTCAATTGAATATTCTTGCTAATTAGTAGCTTGAATAATATAAAATTAGTAAGTGGAATTAAAATTCCAACAGAGAACATGAGAGTCACTTTGGGGGAGGGCTTCTTATCTCAACGTGCATTTTGGGTTTTCAATTTTTATGGCTTTCAAACCTAGGTAAGCCATTGATTAAACCTTATTCATGTGAGTTTCTGAGTCAGTTATATTGAGTGGTTAAATGATCGATTTAATTATATTATTTATAAATGAGTTGCAGCCACTTCATGTAATACTAATGATTTTCCGTTGGACTATTGAATGTTTTAGGATCAGTTTATTAGCCTACAGCCCCCTTGCAATGGGTATATTCTCTGGGAAGTATTTTTTCCCTGATGGGCGATAAAAGGAAAATTTTAAGACGAAGATTTATCACACTCGCACAATTCAAATATGAAACTGTTGAAACAGATATCTATATAAATATAATTGCGAAAAAATATTTACGAAACTTTGCCTGATGGGTTTAGTCCTCGCGTTTTTTTATTTTAGATGTAGGTCCTTTGATATTTATTACTTTTTTTGTTGTGTTGATTTTATTCTTTGAGGTAAATAAGGAAAACACATTTAAAATTTAAATTTAATGCATTATTTCCTTATAATTGAATTCCATAATTTAAATTTTGAATTATTTCCTTAATAATATTCCTAATATATGGATAAAATACAATTTAATCAATAAAAAATAAAGACCCGCATATTATACCAATCAATGAGACAAGCACCCACATTAAATTATGTACCTGATATGCAGATAAATAATGTTATTATTAGCAATGAAAAATACTTATCAATAAAAAATAGAGACACGCATATTATACCAATCGATGATAAAACTAAAGCTAGGCCAAAAGAGTTGGGTTAGCTAGGCCCACGTGGAGCCTTGTAATACTATAATACTAATTGGTTTGATTGGCCTTTCACACGCCGAAACGGCATATTCACCTCTCTATTTCTTCTTCTCACTTTCATTTAGTTCAAAACAAAGACGAACTTCCTTCTTTTTCTTTTTAAAAAAATAAAATAAAACAATTATATGTCCCACTTATAGTATGATTTGCACATGACTCCCATATGCTACTGCGTTTTGAGTACCCTCGCAAATTGTAACGTGGTTTTGATATTTATATTTTAGAACATCTGGCCATGGGAGTCCACATAAATTAGGTATCTAGAGTGATAATCCAAACATGGAAATATAAAACGGACAAAAGGTACACAAACAATTGAAAATCACACATCACTAAAAGTAAGCGTTACACCTACAAAACAGGTCGAAACCCTAAAATCACCCTAAATGAGCAATAACAAAACCCTTTTCTTTAGTGTCAAGTAAAGACAATTATCCACCCCAATGTCAATTTGAAAAGACTTGACTGTCAATTTGAGTGTAAAACTTAAAGTTGAGCAGCATTCGAATTCGAACATTTACCCAAGCCTTAGGGCCAGTTATGACAGGACTAGTTAAAAGGCTTTTCATCCGGGCCTCTACACTAGGATAACAGCTTGGTCATGATCTCGTTACACATAGGACCGTTGATAAAACTAAACTAATAAAGCTAGGCCGAAAGATTTGGGTTAGCTAGGCCCACGTGGAGCCTTGTATTACCATAATAGTAATACTAATTGGTTTGATCGGCGTTTCACACGGTGACGAAACGTATATTCCTTCTTCTCACTTTCATTCTCACTATTGCAAGTTGAAAACAAAGACGAACTCCCTTCTTTTTCTTTTTAAAAATAAATAAATAAAACAATTATATGTCCCACTTATAGTATGATTTGCACATGACTCCCATATGCTACTGCGTTTTGAGTACCCTCGCAAATTGTAACGTGGTTTTGATATTTATATTTTAGAACATCTGGCCATGGGAGTCCACATAAATTAGGTATCTAGAGTGATAATCCAAACATGGAAATATAAAACGGACAAAAGGTACACAAACAATTGAAAATCACACATCACTAAAAGTAAGCGTTACACCTACAAAACAGGTCGAAACCCTAAAATCACCCTAAATGAGCAATAACAAAACCCTTTTCTTTAGTGTCAAGTAAAGACAATTATCCACCCCAATGTCAATTTGAAAAGACTTGACTGTCAATTTGAGTGTAAAACTTAAAGTTGAGCAGCATTCGAATTCGAACATTTACCCAAGCCTTAGGGCCAGTTATGACAGGACTAGTTAAAAGGCTTTTCATCCGGGCCTCTACACTAGGATAACAGCTTGGTCATGATCTCGTTACACATAGGACCGTTGATAAAACTAAACTAATAAAGCTAGGCCGAAAGATTTGGGTTAGCTAGGCCCACGTGGAGCCTTGTATTACCATAATAGTAATACTAATTGGTTTGATCGGCGTTTCACACGGTGACGAAACGTATATTCCTTCTTCTCACTTTCATTCTCACTATTGCAAGTTGAAAACAAAGACGAACTCCCTTCTTTTTCTTTTTAAAAATAAATAAATAAAACAATTATATGTCCCACTTATAGTATGATTTGGACATGGCTCCCATATGCTACTGCGTTTTGAGTACTCTCTTGAAAATTAAAGAAGTAATCGAAGAAGAAATCCTCTATTATTGCTTTTTGCAATATGAAATGGACTGAACAATAACATGGGAAGTGGGGTGGTGCAAGTTGCATGAAAATCCATGATGATGAAATAGAACACGTGTTTAATTAAGTATTGTGTGAAACAAAACAAATTTGAACAAAGTTGAGAAATGGGCCGACAATTGGGTTGAGTATTTGGTTTTTAGATTTTCCAATTCAGGGGATGTACAAAAAAAGATGTGTCGGCAGCAGCAACCAAGAACAAAGACACGAAACATGTCACGGCTGGCAGGCTGGCTGCATGCATATGCTTTTATGCATTATGCATTATGCATCATGCATCATGAATCAGCTTTGAACTTTTGGGCCTATAATATTTTCCAAGAGAAGAGATATAGATGCTTTGTTTGTTCAACAAGCACCAAGGTATGGGTTGATGGAATGGAATTTTACCCTTTTGCCTTTTTTTTCCTTCTCCGTGTAAAACTAAAATATGCACTACTGGCTTTACATGGACAATGAATGTTCTATATTGCATGCTACTATCAAATCATGGATTTCTTTCCTACCCTTTTCGGGGTAAAAAAGACATCGGGGAAAAGCCGATGCCTATTACCGTAAACAAAGACGGTCTACTGATGCTTTAACAGCTAGCTTCAATTGCTGACTTTCTTCATCTGAGTACAACCTTGACAAATATTCTCAAATGTACGTAGGGCTTCAACAAACACCATAAACTGAAGATATGCTCTATGTTTGGACTGCTGTCACTCAAATTGCTTGTGTATATTTCCCATCCACCATCCACTAGGCAGTAGCTACAAATATGCACTTATCTTATAGGGGACAAATAGATAGGTGAAGGAGAAGTGTAAAACTCTCCATTGGTTTTATTTATTTTCTCAACAAAGGTACAACCAAGAAACATAAAATTTTGGAGCTAATAATAAAATAAAATTGTCTCTTTCTAGCCATCTGACCCCGAGCCTTGAGCTGTTACAAAAATATATATATATATATATATTCAACCCTAGCCGAATGGCTATGCTTTGACTTCCTCCCTTGGAAGTTCCATGTGCAGCTCTCAGCCTTAACTTTTTCATTTGAGAATGCAGATGAGGTTAAGACAGATGACTCACAAAAAGACTACCAACCAAAAGTAACCCATTTCACGAGTCATATGACCCCAATCAATTATGTCAAACTTCTAGAACATCTGCTACCTTTGAAAGATTATACAAAATTAATTATGGGTGTTGGGTTGCATTATTTATAATTATTTACAATTATTTACAGGTTTTGTAATAATTAATTGAATTGTTAGTCACATGAAGAGGATGAATGTGAGGCTTCAAGTGGGTGATTGATCTTTTTGTTTAAATAAAGCAACGGTTTGGTGGGAGTAAGAAATTTTCTAACCAATTACAAACCATGAGCAACACTTAACAAGAAATCTTAGCTTATGACCCGGCAATAATGGAGGCAGTTAACTAGTCATGATTTATAATAGAAATTAAAAAGGACATGGAAGAAAAGAGAATTATGAGAGAGAGAGAGAGAGAGAAGATGAAATATTCTTATTACAAGCTTTTTTCTGTGGTTGTGATGGAGATGGGAGACACTGTGCCAAACTTATTTATTACAATCCCTGTCAACCGGCGTTGAGCTTAATTGGTGGTTCATTTTGGACCAAATGCTATCCAACTTGAGATATTATCTTTGGAAGGGTGCGGTAGGGTCTCAATCCTTGCTTGTAGTGGTAGTGCGTTTACTTCCATATTGTCACATCTTCTCTCCTTGTGAATTATCATCACTCTTATATTTTCCTTCATACTCTTCTTTTTAGACCACAATTAATTCGACATATTTAGATATAAAATTCGTAGAGGATCCTTCTTTCAGTTAATTAAGTTGTCCTTTATTATTAAAAAAAAAAATCAAAGTGTTTCGTGAAAAAAATACTTAAAAATATTTTTACTAATCCATAATCAGAATATTTCACCTACAAGAAAAGTTGGAGAAATGGGATATAGACTGTAGTCAGTAGTAGGGGGCATGGACTAGTGACCATGGTCAAATCTTGGGGTCCGAGTCCGGAACTTGGGCTTGTACCTGAAGGAGGAGACTTTTCACAACACAACAAAACAAAGACTTATTATTTAATTCGTAGTTGTTTTGGCTGTTTTTGAAAGCTCCTAAACGTACCCAAAAAGCAAAAGCAAAAGCAATGCTAGTCAAACAGTCGCATACTACCAGTCCACTACCATTATCTAACTAAAATAAAAAATTCATGAATTAAAAAAGTAAATTTAAAAAAATAAAAACATCTTCCGCTAAAGAAGACACAAAATAATACTCAGAAAGAACGCAGGATCTCGAAAGCGTGTTGCATAAGAAACCCAAAATATTCCGAAACCGCGTGGAGATTTTATCTCCAAGAAAGTTACAGGTATCCTATCAGAATCAGGCAAAGAAAACACCGGAGCTAATTACTTTTGCCTCATATTTCTCTTTCTCTTCATACTTTTGGGATCAATTGGTGCTGGAAATATGTGTGAGGTGTGGATGGCTCATGTAGACGTCACTCTCCTTTTTGTTTGGGTAGGACCTGAGGATGTGTCACCAAAACATCCCCAGCTGAGGATCGGTGTAAAAAAGCTAAACGCAAGTACTCAAAAAGCACGTTCTCAACTTTCAGTCAAACAAAACAAAGGGCAAGTAAGTAGCTTTGAAGGTTCTTCCATTTATGCAATCATGACTAATAAACAAGGATTATTTAACCTAATTCCACTGCTATGTAATCAGTACTAATCCTCACACAACTTAAAGTTAAACAAACAAATAGACAAATGATCAATTTTTAACATTTTAATATGATCTTGCACCAAGATTTCCAAAATATTTGTGATATATATTTAGAGAAATGTGTCTTTTGAATGGGTTGTGAAATTGGTTTAGACTCATGATAATAGTTAAATCCGAGGATGGAATTACCCTTAGATTAGGGTGGACCCTAGTCCTATGAAAATTAATTGACCTATCTCACCTTAGGCAAAATTGGCCCACTCCACTCGAGCAGCTTTCAAGAAAACGACAGTAAGCCACCCACGCATATAACAAATGAACAAATCAATTTATAGCTCACTACTCTAAAAATTTATAATTCTTCCCTTGGTTAAACCTTCTCCCCATTAATCTATGGTTAAGTATGTCAACTAACTTTTAGAGCAGTGGTACCTCTCTTCTCAGTGTTTGGAAACGATTCCAAATTCAAATCCCCCTCTCCATTAATAAAGAAAAATATAGGGTTAAGTAGTGACAATGCTCTACAAAGTAACCATACATAATTTAGAGTAATAGGGAAGCAGTATTGCATGATGCGTCTATTTTGTATACATGTTGTTAGATTATGAATTTAAACCATGCATTCATATCTAGTAACATAATTAGTGTCTCATGTTACTAGATCTGACTATTGCATAACAAACATAATTAGAGATTTGGAATTTGTGTAACTAATAAGATAGACATATGTACGGAAAAGGAAAAACAAAGAGGAATCAAAATAGAAGTATATGGCTTGTGTGGCGTTGCAAAATTGCAATGATGGTATCTTGCAATAACCATGCACTGACTGACCTCAGCATGGTTGAGTGTATATCAGTATGAAATGATAGTATTGGGATCCATCAACAGCCAACCTCGAAAACCAAAAAACTATTTAAAAACGCTTCAAAAATGAACGAGTGATTAATTGTTTTGCCAAGAAAAGTTGGAAACACAATAATTATAGGCATGCAAAGTTACACGGAAATTATGTCAGCATGTTTTATCTTTGTGTGTGTGCGCGGTAAGCCACACGTGGGGGTGCAACTTTGGCCTACAATTTCACCAAAAGAGAAAAAGAAGTCGATCGTGTCTCTGGCCTTTTTTTATATTTTTATTTTATTTTATTTTGCTGTGGGGATTTTATGTGCATTCGGTGCAAGATAAAAAGCACCAAAAAGGCATTAACCACCGACTATGGAGAAAGATAACATACGATTTCACACCTTAAAAATAAAATTAAAGTTGATACTCTTATCATAATTAAATTTTAAACACATGATTAAAGAATTCTCCTCATGATCTGCACCTAAAGTTTGTCCTGTTCACTGATTTTTTATGGGATAGGGAATATCAAAGAATTGTTTCAAGAATATGGCAACTTCCTTAATTATTCTGGTGGGTCTTAAATATAAATATTTCCCAATTTTAACATTTGTGAATCAGTCAAAGAGGTCGTCTAGCCTTCTATAAAAACCCTTTTTGCTGTCATCAAGTGTGAAACTATCTCTTATCTCCAAATAAAGTCATTTGTATTCAATCAAGTCGATCGATTTAATTCTAGTTCATTTATTAATTAATTCGATGAGAGGATTTAACATATCTATCCTCCCTCATCACATATATATACTTGTACTTCACCTGCAGCACCAATTATAAAACGCCACTACATTCCCATTCATTATTTCTCCTTCATTTTTATAAATAATATGGTCTTCTTTGACTTTGAGTCGTTGAGTTAGAAACAACAACTTTAAATGTAAATATGAAGCCAACGGGTTTAGTTCCGTTAAAAAGGGTCTTTGATTTGCAGACTAGAAGTCTCAAGTTTGAACCTCTATAGCATCTTGGTTGTGTGTGTGTGAGAAACCCTCATTTCATGCAATTTAGATTATCGCTTGTACTAAAAAAGAGAGGGAAAAGGCAGAAATTAAATATGAAAAGCAAAGTTATCGCTTGGTTGAGTTCACATGCATGCACAAGATTACACACGAGTGAGGTTCAAAGTTGTATATATATATATATATATATATTTTTTTTTTTTGTTGGAAGTTGTATTCTGTAGCCGTAAGAAGGTCACGTGTAACGAAACCCCGTTCACATTACGAATTTTTAAAAATATAAAAAAAACCGGTTAACCGGTCAAAGGTCACTGTATGAAAGCGTCGACCATTTTGTCGGAACCATGCATTCAATTTTTGCCACTGCCACTCTGCCTACTCCGTACAAAACCCTTGACCTACAATTACCGGTCAATATTTGAGGCCAAGCCAAACTCAACCCCGGCCTACCTTCTCACTCTCAATCCCTAACCCCCAAAAAAAAACTCTTACTTTTTTCTCCAACCCCAAAACGCACTCTCTTTTTCTTCTCTCTCTCTCTCTCTCTCTCTCTCTCTCTCCCAAATCTTATAAACCAGATCAACCCTACCCTACTCTCTCTCTCTCTCTCACTACGACAAACAGAACCCACTTTCTCTTTCTAGCCCTTGATGAAGAGTAGCTCTTTCTGTATTGTGAGTGAGCAATGGATGTGAAGAAGGATGTGGTAAAGATGGAGGACAATAGTACCAATATTGGATGTGGGTTTTCCTCATCACCATTTTCAGGCATATTTGATTTCTGTGAAGGAGAAAAGAGCTCATCTTTAGGGTTTATGGAGCTTTTGGGTGCTGGCCAGGACTTTTGTACTAACTCCTTGTTTGATTATTTGCCTCAGACACCATCTATGTTGCCTTCATTAGCTCCAAACTTTCCAAATACTTCCATAATGGCAAAGGAGTGCTCTGACTACTCTTTGAATCAGCAGCCTGCAACACCAAACTCTTCATCGATTTCATCTGCATCCAGTGAGGCTCTGAACGAGGAACAGACTGATAATAAAGGTGCTGCAGACCAACTTGAAGAAGAAGAACATGACCAACCAAAGACCAAGAAAGAGTGAGTTTTTCATTCCTGCTTTGCTTTGCTTTGCTTTAAGTTTTGTTTTTGAGAGAGACCCATTTCCTAACAGATCAAGATAAAGATGGGGTTTTTATCATTTTGGGATTTATAGTACAGGGACCTGAAATTGAAAATTGGGACTTCGGGTTAAAGTGAACTCTACTTTCATTATATAATAAAAAGCCTGATGATGTATTGATGAAAGGTTGTTTTTTCTTTGTGTTCATTGTGTGGATGAGCAAAGGTTGAAAGCGAAGAAGGCAAGTCAGAAGAGACAGAGAGAACCCAGATTTGCATTCATGACAAAGAGTGAGGTTGATCATCTGGAAGATGGCTACAGATGGAGAAAGTACGGTCAAAAAGCTGTGAAAAACAGCCCCTTCCCCAGGTACTCAATCTAAACTTCAGTGCCAAATTAACACTTTTATTTATTATCATGGCATTGCTAACTGCTTCTTAATAATAATCATCCTCAGTTCAAATTAATCAAAAACCAGAATTAAATTAATAATGGGTTTTGAATCGGAAATAATAATCTTCCTTATTATTATCTTTTTTTATCTTATGTTTTGTATTTCATGATTTTGGTTGATTGTAGGAGTTACTATCGATGCACAAGCACAGCATGTAATGTGAAGAAGCGAGTGGAGCGATCTTTCAATGACCCAAGCATCGTTGTAACAACTTATGAAGGCCAACACACACACCCAAGCCCACTCATGCCTCGCCCAACTCTCACGGCTTCGGCTTCTGCTCAACCCAGTATCTCCACCACCTTTGCCATGCCTTCAATGCCCAGAACCCTATTATCTCATCACTATCAACAGCAACTGCAACCTTTCAATTTCTGCAACTATGTTAATGGTGGCTCACCAACAGCAAATGCTAGCGGCACCGGCTTTCATCGCGAAAGGCGGTTTTGCACCCCAGCAACTGGTTCTGCTATGTTGACAGACCATGGGCTTCTTCAAGACATAGTCCCCTCCCATATGCTGAAGCAAGAGTAGATATATTTATATAAATATATATGTTTATAGATAACCATGGCCGTACCTGATCATGAGATGAGATCCCATTAGTTAATGCAATGCTACTTAATTATGTACTAATTTAGGTCACTGACTTGTTTTGAGATCAGGTGCTCTTGCTAATCCTGATGGTGATTATCACTGTAAACATGGAACATGGATATTTTAATCCAATGCAGGTACTTGGTAGTAGTTAGTTTTTTTACCTCATCAGATTTTCTTTTTTTTCTTTTGGGTTTTCTTTTCCTCTTGAGGGGTGTGGGGTGTGTGGAAGAGCCTCTGAAAGAGGGGGAAAATGTGGGGTTGGGTATGTAAATATATTGTGGTATATGGAAATTGGGTTTGCTTAATTATTCTGACCCCTTGTTTGTCCTATATCTTTGTTTTTGCTGTGGAAGGAATGTGCATTGATTTCATTTGGAGAGTAGCAGTACAGTGCTGCTGCGCAGTCATGATTTTGAGGGTTAGGGTTTTCTGCGTAGTCCCTCCCGTCGAGACCCACAATTAATGAAGGAGGCCCTCTTTGCTTTGTTTTTTTTTTTTTTCATAAAAAATTTATTTATTTATTTAAAAAGTTAATAATTTACCTTTTTCCTTCTCCTCCTGGGAATTCACATAAAAACCATTGATTCTAGAAAAAGGGGCTGCAATTGGGAAGATTTGGTGACAACATCTAATGCGCTGTCCCAAAACTATGCATGCGTATGCTACAAGAAAAGGCAACTCAGAGATCGAAATCTCTACCGCCCCACTTTGAGCCTCTTGGACAATAAATGCCTTGCTTTCTAGTTTTGATGCCACATCAAATCTCACCCTCCATTTTTGATGCATTGAATTTGAATAAATAGATGGGAATGGGATATGGATTCTGCCATATAAACTAAGCACCGCCTCCACATTTAGGATAGTCGGCCTGTGATTCTTTTGTCTTAATAATGGAATAATATCTACCCGTGTATTGAGTCATACGTACTCTACGTGTTCCGCGGCCATTTTGTCCACAACTTTTGCGCTGCTTAGCAAATTGCCATGGCCATGGGAACCAAAGTTATTTTTATCGGTTTGTTAATCCAACATTGACCCATCTTAATCCTAACTCATTGTCCCGTGCACCATGTTATCATTGACTAATCGCGGTATGCCACGCATGAATATAAGTATATATCAAGACTTCACAAAATATTGAGTACATAGAGGAACCAACCAACGTATGGGCTTGGATAATCATACTTTTAAACTCCAGTTGAAAGTCAGTACATAGCAAGAGACCTGCAGAGAACAAGACTACACAAAATATGGACATGAAAGCTTTTTGTCAACTACTGTTAAGTTGTTTCTGCCATCGGCAGTATGAGCACCAAAGATGCAACATTCTATTTTGAAACAAATACATCATATGTTTCATGTTATGTAAATAACTGGTTTATGATACAAATCACCGGGCAAGTAACAAGCCGATTGCATGAGATTAAAGACACCATAATTTAAGCGTTGATGGCAACATTTCTACACCTGTGTCTAATACATATTGCACCCTGTTCTAAGCTTCCACCACTATTGTTCAGCAATTAAATGCTTCTGGATGCTCTTTCCCACAGAAGCAGCTTAAGATGAGAAGATAAAATGAAATGACCAATAAAGTACAGCTCTTTGCAGAAGTTTGCATCTTGACCCGAGAGGGGGAAAAATGTTGCATTCACACAATATGGTCCCCCTGCGCTGAATTGCATTCATTGTGTACAATGGTCACCTTCAGCACTAGCAACTCTTAAATTTGCGTTAATCGCAGTGACCTCAACAATTAAATAAAATTGAGGGAAAAAAAAGGCATAGGGAGTGAACCAGTAATGTCACAATCTTGCAAATGTACCAACAGTTGACCGATGATTCAATCCTCCAAGGACTGGGACGGGGTTGCATGCCATTTTTTTCTTTTAAGAATGGAAAAATTGGCCATTCTGCATAGAAAGCAAAAAGAATGGCTAGAACTTTCGTGAAGTGCTCAAAGTCACTTCTAAGCAGATGCATTGTGGCAATTGCCTCAGTGAATTGTAAATTACATAATCAATACCTGTCAAACACAGGTTGGGCCAACAACAGGATTTGTTTCTGGCTGGATTTGCACATGATCCAGTTCCTACAAAACCACAGCATGTTATTGACAATACCATATCCGTCCTCGTCCACATGGACATTATTTACACTATCACGGCTTCCAGTAGTGCTAAAGAGACATACCCAAATTGAATCTTTACACTCGAAGCTCGTATAGTGTGCTAAAACAATTTCTATTTGGGCAATTCTTACACTAGCTGCTAATTTGTATAGGGATGTTGCTTACCTAATGTGAAAACAGCCACATAACATAGAAAGTAAACCTAACTATTCAACAAACAAGCAGGGACCCATGGGTACCACCCACCATCACCATCACCATCACCACCACACAACACCCCAACAACGCCCACCCCCCGCGGCAGCTCCCCAAACACCCCAATTACCACATCCCTAACACCTAATGGGTACCCAGTGCCAATCCCTAGCAAAAAGACGACGCCTTATTCACATTACAACGGAAAAACCATCTTAAAAATGAAAAATTAAGTGAAAATAACAAACCGGTGCAGATGAGCAAGGTTTCTGAAGTTGTAGTGTCTGATGGAAGGCCTGTGTCTGAATCTGTACCTGCTGTGTTTGAGCACTATGTTGGGTAGAAAGAACAGACGACATAGATTTAAGATGGTGAGAAGGATTTTGCTGCTGTGTCTGCATCTGCAATGCTTGCTCAAATAAGGCAAACTCCTCAGGCTTGTCCCACTGTAGACCAGATAACACAGCCATTAATCATATGTTCCCAATTATTTTGAATAGGACATTTCAATATCTTCTGGTACTAAGAAACCTAAATGTCATATGAAGAAGATTGTCAAAGACTGAAACGTACTCTGCTTTCACAAGTTTCACAATTATAATAATACTTGTATCCATCAGGGCAGTTATGTTCACTCCAGTCACACTCTATGGGAGCTGCTATCTCGTGATTTGAAGGAACTGCAGCTGAGAGAGAATTGCTAGCAACTGTCTGAGGATTGCGTCCAGTTTGTGGAGACCATAGAAGACAACAAGACACCAACGTATTTGCACAGTTTCCAATATCACAGCATGGCAGAAAAGAGTTTGCACGAGACACAAAGTATCAAAATCATTGTTAGTAAAATTGTGTGCGCTACCACTCGTACATCACATAACTACCACAGAACAATTTAACATACATTCATAGCAATTTTGTATCCACCAATGAAAAAGTTCCAGAAACGACTAAAAGCCTCCTATTTTTAATACTTAGGGTTACTATAGCCAATGTTACTCCCTCCCACATGCATGAGAATCATTTAACAGGATGGACATGATTCCTATGGTTCTAAAGAGCCCATACACAAACAATTCAACAAATACAGGGTGTTACAACCAGTAGCTACATGACATATTTGTGACAACATGCTCATGATAGTATCCCTTCAAAGGTTGACCTCTTCAATCACTCATCACTTTGGCAGCCTGATAAATCATTTATCATTGTTACCTACTAACCTGAGAACTCTGCTGCTGCCCAATAATTTGCCCTGATGGTTGCGTCAGATGCTGCTTCTGGGTCTCATTAACTTCTACTTGAGAAGTCCGAGAATGCATAATTTGTGTGTGTTGTAAAGGCATCCTACACAACTGTGAAGGTGACTTTGATGGAGGAAATGGTGGTTGTATGACACTAGAAGCCTGGGGTTCATGGTTTGCCAATTGAGAAATAGGTAGGTGTGAAGCTTGTTGAACAGGATATGATGCATTATGCATATTATACCCTCCTGTGGAATCACCATGATCAGATACTGGCCTGAAAAGAACAAAGCAGAAGACAAACAGTCAAGACTAACAAACAGAATGACAAATGAAATGTAAGATGTATAAAGACAGAATTGTACCTAACAACTGGTTCTTGAGAGTGGGGAACAATGTTTGCGTTGCTAAATAAATAATTGCCCCTAGAGAAAGAGAATTCAAATTTAGAAAATTTCACAACGATTTAACTGCCCCAAAATCAAACAAGAACATTATCAGTTAATACTGTATACATCTTGTATACACCTTTCTTTCAGCCAATGTTTCTGTTTACTTTAAAACCAGATATAAAAAGTTGCTTTTGGGTGACTGGTAAACGTTTCCAGACCGTAAATCTGGACCACTGAGCAGTTTCATTTTTTCCAAAACGTGTGGTCCCATCCAAAGAGGGACCCCATATTTTCATGAAAGTAAACCCCATGTTGGGGTTCACCATGCAATGTCCAATGATCCGAACCATCCATTTTTTAGGTTTCCCTTCAAGGATCATCTTTATAAAAATAAAAATAAAAAACAAAGGAGCAAATTGCTTAGCTATTTGTTTATTATCATGAACATTTCAAAATTTGTCGAAAAAACTATGTTAGTCTATAATTTAATTAAAGTTAGATGACAAAATGGTTTATGATTTGGCCAAGCCTTTTATGAGGGTCATGGGAATCTATAAAAGGGATGGTTAAGATCTTTATACTGCACTGGGAGATGGGCCTCACATGCATCCCTTTTTTCCCTCAGAAAGAGAGATCTCTCTTTAAAAGCTCTTGGCATACACACACATATCTAAGAATGTTACAAAGCATAACCTTGATTCTATTCCCCTTGGTTTCTTAGGATCTGCAAAGCGAACAATTAACGGCTGAGCACAACCCTGAAGTAACATAGAAAAGAAGAATCAAACTAGATGCCTTCAAAGCGTAATGACACAATCAGTGCATGTTACTAAGCAATACAAAAGCATTACTCTCATAATGAAGGTTCCATTTAGTGCTTTGATTGCTTCCAGAGCCATATCTTTATGGGAAAACTTCACAAATCCGGTCCCTTAAAAAAAACCAAAAATATATATATATAAAAAAGCATTAGCCAGAACAAAGAAACAGAAACGGGTTTTTAGCAACATGCGATTCCATACAAATCTTTCATTAGATTTTACAGAAAATTATGACTAAAATAAAGAAAGATACTATTTCACCATTAAATTATGATAGACCCCAACTGAAGTGCTGACAGATATAAAAGTTAAAACTACTGGCTACGATATCCACCACCTACTTCTACCCTCTTAAGTAACTAGCAAGCATGCAAATCAGAATATCTCCAGTTCTTGTGAAGTCAAATAGAACACAGGACATCATTAGGTTGAAAATACCATATTGAGGCAAGCATAATCAGCCCCCACAATGTAGATATCTTCAACCTGCCCAGTCTATAACATGCAACTCAAAATTATAAAGAATAGAGAGATCAACAATGAGAAAAATAGAAATACCACGATTCTGCCTCATCTCATCACGCAAAATGTAGATATCTTCAACAAAACCATATGGCGAAAATATCTGACATAGAAAGCACCACATAAATCTGAACATCTTGAAAAGAGTTGAGGGAGTATATAACCAAAAATGGGTTGAGAAGAATATTGTTCTTTCCATGCAAGTAGCATGCATAAGTGCATATCCATACGAAAAGATGTGCATGCATAAACAAATGGATGTGCACAAATGCATGATACATCTGTAGCGATGTACTGTTGAATACATGAGTAAATTATTTAGCTGAGGTTGTGTTAGTAAGAAAACATTCACCGTACTTCCTCAATTTCTTTCCTCGAAGCTTCCTTGTTCAGGCCACACACATACAACTTGTCAAGTCCCGCTACCAAAAGGACAAGAAAAACAAAATTCATCAGATGCTGAACATTAAAGGCCTGACTAGGAAGGCTTTTACACGAAGCCTTTTACTAAGTGACTTTTATTAGAAGCACATAAAAAGTTCCATTAAAACCCCACGTACATCCTGCATATTCACCTCAAAGTGCTTTTTTCACAGACAAAAACATTCCAAAACACACCCTATATATGTCAGTTGAAAACACACAATACACTTTATTGCACATTATATCCTCGTTATTTAAAACAGAAAGGCATGTGAGAAGATATTCTATTATTTTGCTAGCAAAACAAAAACAAGGATAAAGACAATACAAACAATATAACAAAAGTCATAAGCAATATAAAAATTCCTAAAATATGTACGATACTAAGTTTCTGGTTTACAATCCAAAAAAGGTTCCACGAGAAATTCCTTAAGCATTGGAAAATTACCAAGGCGTTCCAATTCCCAGTCGGCATATTTAACTGTGATTGGTAGAACTTCCTGGCAAAAATAAATTACAACAAACAACAAACAACAAACTTAATAACAGTAACGTGACGAATGACATAAGTACATATCTATTTATCCATCGAGCAACAAATTAACTCACCCCAGGAAAATAATGCTGATTATTCAAGGCTCCGATAGCCCTGTCTGCTTCATCTAGTGTTGCATATTTCACGAAACAACTGCCTGCAGGAGCAACACCAAATCTGTTTTCTTACTTATTTTTCTTTCATAGTTATATGAAATACTATTGAAACAGAAATGGAGGTACCAAGCAAACAGCAGACTTATTAACATTTACAAGTAGGTAATTAAAGAGAAGAGCGTCGAAGATAGAAGAAAACCTTAAATTAGTGCTTAGATGTTAAAATTCAAGGGGCATTCAGAACCCAAAAACATAAAACATCTATTGAGGAATTTTGGGACATAAAACATCTATTGAGGAATTTTGGGACATTATTTATTTATTTATTTAATGTAAGCTATAGAGGAAACATGAGCAGATGAGTTCTCTGATCAGCCCCTCCAAAGACCAAGAAATATAAACATCAGTTTTTTGCTTATACTAACAAGGGGAACTGAACCAAGAATCTATCCTTCACCCACCCCACCCCATACGAATTGAGGTACCTTGTTGTTGGCCTGTCCTCTTATCCCTCAAAATAACAACCTCGGTAATACTTCCATATTGTTCAAACAACGGGCGAATCTGTCATAGAAAAACAAGAACACCTTATTAAATAGAATTAGCAGTCACAAGACCAAAGCACGACACCAGATAATTTGAAACAGGCATCTTTGCTAGGTTGGTAAGGTTTAGTTTCAAAAGAAATGAACACCAAAGACATTTTGACAGATTTGGGGAAATAATTACTCACAACTTCCTCAGTCGCTGTTCTGGAAACCTGTGCAACATAAAGTTTTACATGGAAGGCACTTTCAACGTTATCTGAAAAACAAAATCCCCGAAAGAAAGAAAGTGAGAGGTACTAAAATACCTAGCTTTGGAGGGAATAAGATAAATACAGCTGAAATTAAGATACAAATGCAGTTTCCATGTGTAAACAAATTCAGCTACGCATTGCTAAGAACCTTCCTCAGAATGTAAATAGTGAAAAAGAGTAATTTGCAGTTAATATTCGTTTTGATAAGTGGAAAAGCCATCACCAGCTTAACTTCAGTCACAAAGATTAAAGTAACATTAGCAATATATGAAAAAGAGTATTATTGGCAGCCTAACCCAATTCATTGTTTCCATTCCATCACTTTCCTACATTTCCTTACCTACCAAACAGAGCATTAAGGCAAATACAAATGTATGTACAAAAAATTGATATACAATACCTGGAGAAGGTCCTTGATTAGAAGGATGCCAAGCCCTTTTGCGTACAGAAAAAGGCACCGGATGGAACGAGCCATTAGAGTGGTTGCCATGGTGGTGGTGGTCGTCGTAGTGGTTGTAATCGCGGTGGTGATTGTGGTGGTTATGATGGTTATGGTGGGGATCGACGAGGGGCCATGAAGAAGAGGAAGAACCAGTCCCAGGGTACGAGATGCCCTGGGGCTCTTGGTGTTCACCGTGCCTCTCCAGCTTCACAGATACTCTGCCTGGATTAGTTTATGCCAAACTCTAACCTTAACCCTAAAATTTTAGACTTGAGTGCGATTGAAGAAGAAGGCACCACACTAAAATGGTGGAGCTCCCGCACAGCCGATTGTCAGTTAATCTTCGTGGACCGTCGAGACATGTCTATTTTTTATTTTTTATTTTTTTTGGTAGTTATGGCTTCACTCCTTCTCCTGTAAATAGAGCCCTACATTCTTTTTTGTCTCCTTGTAGGAAAGAAACTCTTTTGGGATTTCGAACCTGGGTGCCATGGGAAAGGGGGAGTCTACCACCACTAGTGGGAACCCATTGGCATAGAGTCTTACATTCTTGTCAATGGTAGTTTAACACATATACAGAAGTATTTTTTTTTGAATTATTGATTAATTATTTTGGCACATATGTCAAATCTTGATTATAAGAAAAAGGAGCAATGTTCATGTTTATCAGGAATGATGTGTGAATATTGAAATTATTTCAATTGCTAAGTTCTCATTACAAGCTCTAGGATGACCTAAAGCTATTTCTGAAAAAAGAAAAAAAACAGAAAAAAAAAAGTGTTTCTAACTGTGTTTGACATAACAATTCAGAAACACTTATGAACCATAAAAGCATTTTTTGGAGAAGCACATCTTCTTGAAGCACTTTGATTTTGAACAAAAAGTCAAACGTTATTTTAACATAATCACTTATGTGGAGAATCACTTCTCCATATATAATCACTTAGTGGTTTAAAGTGATTTTATGGAGAACAATATGGGAGGTGATTCTCCCCAAAATCGCTTATAAGGGATTCTGGCTCTCCTAGAATCACTCCTAAATGAGCCCTAAAAGCACTTATGAGCAGAAGTATTTCATGGAAAAGAAATCCAAAACGAGCCATGAATCAGCAAAGGGGAATAGAATGAGACCAAATGATGAATTTTAGGACATTTGAGATTTAACGACTATAAAAGGATGTGTGGCTTTTATGGTGTAAAATGAAAAGGATGTAGTATGCTATGAAATTGGGTAACTAATTTGAAAAAATGGAAAAGAAAAAAGTATTGGGGTTTGGTTTTTGATTTGTTTTCACTCAATGATTTTAGTAAAATTCAGGGTTTTTTATTGCAATAGTATGTGAACTTATACTTAAGTTTCAATTTGGTCCTCAAATTTTTTTTGATCAATTTGGTCATCCTACTATCTTAGTTGTGTTGATTGAGTCATTCTCATTCCTTCATTTTCTGTCAATTTGGTTGTCTAGTTGAGGGTTAAAACCGTCAATTTGAAACCATACTTACCTACATATACCCAAGTAGCTGGAGAGCTTTAACCCCCTCCAACCCCAAATGGTTCACTCTTTCCGCTGGTGAAGGAGATGAGAGCAACCTTCGCCTATGCCAAGACTCGAAGCTATCAAAGTTTTTTTAGACTGCAAAATCCCCAAATTTGAGCCTTAATCCTTCAATAGAACTCTCAATTTAGCCCTAAACACTAATCAATCCCAAACTTCCCAAAAGTCTGATTTACCCATAAAAAGTATGTCATGTGCCATTAACGTAATTAAAATTAATGGAAATTGTGATAGAAGGACTCAATTGGCACAATTAGGAGAATTGGATGACCAAATTGACTCAAAATGAAGTTTGAGAACCAAATTGAAACTCTCGAGTATAAATTCAGGGATTATTGTAGTAAAAAACCCTAAAAATCAAAGGAAATATGTTCGATAGTAATTAGCTTGTAACTTGTAATATTTTTTTTGGTCTGACATAATTGGTTTTGTTTTTATGAAGACCTTTTCTATTGAAAAAGACGATAACATACTAAAAATATACACACTACACGAATGTTAGGAATTAAACCTAAGATCGTTCATAGGGAACAATTGTTCCAAGGCACTACGCTAATGGATTAGTCCGGCGTGAAACATGAAACTCATCCATATTTAACTGTAGAGTATATAAAAGTGGATTTTGGGGGCGGATATAGAATTTGAATAAAATAGGAGTGACATCTAGAAATAACAAAGAAACATCAGCCGGCAGCAGAGATTAACAAACCCAGCCCTAAGCCTTAGCTTCTCCTCGTCGACGTTCAAAGCCTTTGCTTTGCGGCTCCACTATCTTCACTCTTCAGGTAACATTTTCGTTTCTTCCACAGAAACACCCTTCCTTACACCAGATTTAATCCAACCCTTGCGGAATTCATTCAAGCATTCGCTTGGCCCCTAATTTGCCATATTATGTTATTGTATAATCACGTAGTGGATTTTAAAAACTTTATTTATTTTTTAATTTTCACGAAGATTTTCTGCCCAGAAAAACAGAGCTTGTTATCATTTTTATCATTGATTGCTGCTTTTGTTTAGAAATTCATGCAAAGTGTTTTGCTTAGTAAGTGAACTTAATCGATTGCGAATTGGGTCCTCATAGGACTGCAATATCAATATTCAATAAGATGTTGTTTGGGAATGTCTTAAAGATGCATTATTTATCTTCTTGCTTATGTAATTTGATGGCTATGGGGGATACTGATAAGGTTTGGTTTGTGTTATGCAACGTTAGAGTTCATAACGTTGAGTTAGATGGAAACGAGACCAGACCCTGATGTTGATGATGATTTTAGCGAACTATACAAGGAGTACACTGGCCCTCCCGGGTCAAATGCCACAAACACACAAGATAGGGCAAAGCCAAACAAAAGGTCCCTTACCGGGTCTGACGAGGAAGAGGAAACTCGCGATCCGAACGCCGTCCCAACTGATTTCACCAGCCGAGAAGCCAAGGTTTGGGAGGCCAAGTCAAAAGCTACTGAGAGGAACTGGAAGAAGAGGAAGGAAGAGGAAATGATTTGCAAAATCTGCGGGGAACCAGGTCACTTTACTCAGGTAAATTTTTGTCACACACACATACACAAACATATGCGTCTTTCATTTTTCAATTGCTGATTTATAAAACACCTTTTCCAGTAATTGGAATAGCTCAGACCATCTTGTAATTGACTTAGTAATTGGAAGCAGCTTCTGCCCTAGAGTTTACATTTGTGGTCTGCTAGATTTCAAGTTCAGATAGATTGATGCTGTATCTTTTCAGATTTTCCACACATACTAGTTCTGTTGGTAACCTACTTTTGCTCAGGGTACCCCTGTTTTCAGAGTTTTAGGTTTATTACTGGAATTAGGTATCCCATCTCTGCATCTTGATACTCACACCCACACACACACCCCAATAAACTTCCCGACAGGCACATACACTTGGGCAGGTAGAGCGTTTCATTTGTCTGAACAGAACAGATTCCATATACTTCTATGGGCTGTGTTCCAAAGCTACTTTCAATTGGCATTGTTTGTTTATGTTGCTAATCAAGCTGTAGCTCACTTAGGTTGGTGGCTATTAGTCATATTATGTATTTGACTTATGTCTTCTGTTCATCCATACTATATTGCTGTTACATTAGTATTTTCACCAAAATGACTTACTATTTTTTCTTCAAAGAAACTGGTACTTTATGAACCTCATTGCAAAAATATAGTCGTGACAGAAATTCATGCAAGGTCATAAAAACTAATAGAACCGCATAGCATGTGTAGACTTGCTTGTGGTTCTATTTATTCGTAAATATTACCAACGTGGGGTTTAGCTGGAACAGTCAGGCCCATGGTTTGCGCCACCATGTGGTCTGAGGTTCGAAACCCCCAGAGGTACCTATCTAGCTATTTCTTAATGTTTCCTCCCTCCCGAAGCTTGTATGGCTCAGCAGGGGTTCCCAGTTTCAAAGCTATGTCCGCAAAAGCGGATTGATGGATTTCTTGGTATAATTTTTTTTTATTGTGATTATATTCATGGAAAGAGAAAGGTTTTATTTTTCCTTATGATAAAATATGTTCTAATGAATTTTGGTAAATCTTTAGGGGTGTCCATCTACGCTTGGAGCAAATCGCAAGTCTCAAGATTTCTTGGAAAGGGTACCTGCTAGAGAAAAGCATGTAAAATCACTTTTCACAGAGAAAGTGATAGACAGGATTGAAAAGGATATTGGCTGCAATATTAAGATGGAGGAAAAATTTATCATTGTCAGTGGCAAGGATAGGTTAATTTTAAGAAAGGGGGTGGATGCTGTGCACAAAGTGATTAGAGAGGAAGGTGAGCAAAGAGATGGTTCTGGTTCTCACATGACTAGATCAAGGTCATCTGAGCGAAGTCCTGTTGGTTCACGGTTACAACGCTCTGAATCTCAGAGGTCTCATTCTGGTCCCCGAAATGGGTCACATTTTCAACAAAGATTTCACAGGCAGGAGAAGTTTGTTGAAGACCGTATACGTCAGGATATGCAGAAATTTTCCAGGGGTTCTCCACAAGGTAGGGGCAGCATAGGGTATGTTTATGGTCTATATAGGAAGTTCGTAGCTTGTTAGGTTCCAATAGAATTTCCTACCTGCTGTCTGTAAAGTTTTCCCATTTATGAAAGAATCGGCTTGTTGCTTATCATTTGTTTGCAGCAAAAGGTAAGTTCTTATCTCAAGAATTGTGTGTACTACGTAGAGTTCTGAAGTAACTTTCATGGTTGGGTCTGAATTGATCGGGTTGTCTCCGAAATGAAATCATTTACTGAAAGCATATCCAGAAATTTTGCCTCAGATCGTTTCTCTCTGAAAATAAGACAGTATGTTGAATTAAAGCTGACATCTGCGTTAGCATCTTGAATCAAGTGCTTAACATACTCTTCATTTCATGAAGCTTATGGTAATGACGGAGCTAGAGGTCGTCCAAGTCATTCAAATTCTCCAGCCCGTGCCCCTTACATGGGAAACTCGTATAGTTCATACGATGGTCATAATCAGAGCATGGCTACTTATAGAAATGATGGATGGGATTCTGATAAAAAAGGATCTGATATGCAATCTGGTCGTCAGTTTGATTACTCTGCCACCCCTCAGACATTAGAAGAATTAGAATTGGAGTACAAAAGAGAGGCAATGGAACTTGGAAGAATTCGTGACAAGGAAGAAGATGAAGAAAATTACAAACATCGTGAGGTATGGACTACCTGACAACTCTCGAAAAATATAAATAGAATGAACACTTTTAATTCTGTTCTTCTTGCTTGAAGTGATAATTGGGTATTTGACGATCCTATACCTTTCTTAACATAAAAGGAAAACTTGTGTCTAATATATCTCCAGCAACCGTGCCTGCTTTCTTACCAAACGTAATTGTTTTAAAACGCTTGATCTCTTTTTACAAATTTATGGTATCTGACTTTGTATTATACGGATAAAAGGTGATTAGGGAAATGAGAGAGAACTACATCAAGAAACTGGGTACCCTGAGGGGGATGCATGCAAAACAGTGGGAGGATTTTATTCAAATTGATGCCCAGAGGCATCAACAACAGGCTAATCAGCAGATGTCGGCTTCAGGTTTTGGTGGTTATAAATCACAGAATTATAATGAATACGATGGCTCCTCAGCCAATCCTCATTATGCCGGTGCCAGTTTAGCTATGGATTCAAGGAGCAGGTACCCAAACCCTATGGAAAATTATCCTTCAAGGCCTCATGACAACTTTGGCGAGTTCCAGCGTCAGAGGCATGATGATTATGGGAGAGGTTACAGTCGATACTGAATGTTTAAGTGCCATTACATTTGGTGAGTGTCTTACCCTTCAGGCAACTTAAAAGGATTTAAATTGTTACCTTATGTTTTGGCCGAAAAGTTGAATATCCCGTATATCCAGGTTCATCTAAGGTAGACACTATATAACGTGGTTCTTAGGGATGCGGAGCTCAAATTTCAGTAGAATGCTTTTAGCAACCACACAGAATGTCGATTTGTGAATCTTGGGGGTGTTGGGTTGGCTAGGGAACTAGGATGTTGGAATTGTTAATGTGGTTTGCAGATTATTGTTTGATTATTTAGCACTAGTTAAATTCCGCTCCGAAAAATTTTCAGGGTGCAGGTCTGAGTAATGTAGCGGTATGCACAGGGGAGCACCAAATCTAGGTAAGCATGTTTTCTATGATTTAAAATTGAGGGAAGAATTGTGCACATTAATCGAGTGGTACAGCTGCTGTTTTGCAATATGGTGACTCAGTTCTGTTTAGAACTTGTTGTAAACAAGTGAGACATGATTTCCATTGGCCAGTAGTGTTTGGATTTTTGACAGTATTCATTGGGTTATAATTAAAGTAGATAGACTCTTCATCTTAATAGTACATCGATGTGAATGCCGTTGTTGAATTTTTCAATTATTTCGTTGCAACACAACGCTGCCTACCTTTGAACAGGGGAGTCCCCCGGATGGGTTCTAATAAATTTTTTCATTTGTTAGAATTGTTCATCTTCTTTAATTCCCGGGATTGGAAGGTTTTTATACTTGTTTTGAGTACTGATGCTTACGACCCTGTTACAATACGGTAAGTACCGGTTCACCTTTGGTTAAAAGGGGGCCAAGCCCCGAAAACAAAGGAAAAAACTGGCCCTAATGCAAACGGCTCTAGAGGGAGCAACAAAACTGAGCTAACCAAAAGAGGAGGGTAATCAAAAGTAGAAATCCCTAGATCAAAACTGAGCTAATCATGATAGTACCTTTTCCGCGATCTTCTGAAAATTCGCCTTTATACTGGTAAGCATGAAATGATCATTATCTCCTAGTGGACAGCGACCAAAAAAAAGCTTTATATGTTCCGTTTTTAGCTGTTGGCAGGTTAACTCTAGGGAGTTATTGGATTGCATGGTGACTTTTTTTGGAATGGAATGGAGCTTGATAAGAGGAAAAGGCATCTCACGAGAGATGCGCATTAGAAAAAACAATTAAACTATAACTCAGGCTAACCCCAAAGATGCAACAGCCCTTTTAGATAAATCAGAACCCCCACCCATATCATAATTAAAATTTAGGTCTCGTTTTAAAAGTGGGCTATGATTAAGAATCCAATTTGTTGGTTGGCATTGGCATAGTTTGCTTTCCACAAGACAAGCCCTTTGCTTTTTCTTTCTTTTTTTTTCTTTTTTTTTTTTCCAAGAAGAAATTATCACAGATAAGCATGTATTCATTAAACCTGGCCTTGTTTCCAATGTTAAACAGAAAATTAAAAATCTTTCATTTCCAAGAAGAACTCCAAGAGCCCTTTAGATTTTAACCTAGCTAGTGGGCAAGTCACCTGTGTGCATATATATACCAGTTTGAGATGTTAAGTGATATACGCAGAGTACTACCACCCAAGAAGAATTAAATAAGAAATGAGAACATACAACGTGAATGTTAATGGTGTGGCAGTGAAAACCACCGTGACAGACAGTGTTTCGTTTGTGGACAGCTTCATCACAGAACTCATACTCTCTTGCAACTACACCAACTCATCATCATCAAGACCTCCTATAATCGGCTTCGATGTCGAGTTTACTGAGTCCGCCATTGATGGGATCAAAGCTACCACTCTTCAAATCTGCTCAGGCTCTCGCTGCATCATCATACAACTTAACAAAATGGGAACCAATAACAGTGTCCCTCAGTCGCTGATCAACTTTCTAGCTGCTTCTCTCTTTTGTTTTGCGGGCGTTGGAATATTTCAGAGCTTGGCCTTGCTTAAGAGGGAGTATGGGATTGTGTGTAGGAATGCGGTGGACTTGAGGCTGATGCTTAATATGGCTGTTGCGAGTGGAGCGGTTGAGCTTGAACCAAAGCCTTTGAGCGTTGTTACGGGTGACTGGGGTGCTGAGAATCTTAGCATGGAGCAAATCCAGAGTGCTGCTTCTGATGCTTTTTCTTTTTTTAATTTTGGGAATTTGCTTGTTATTTCGTTCAAATAATAAAATGGAGCAACTCTATGTAGAAGTATGCTTTTGCCTACTATGTCATTGTCTCTTTTTTATTTGATGGATATTATGGATAATGAAAGATTAGAGTTTTATTAATGGTATAATTAAGCTAAACAAGAGCATTTGAAGAGTTTATCCGTTTCCAAAATCTGTATGTTCATGTTCGTCCATTGATTTAAGATAACGGTTCAGTTCACTGCATCCTTTTGATTGATTGAATGGGAACTGAGAAAGCTTCCATTGTTTATATATTTTTTTATACCATCGATATTCTACTTTAATCTAATTTAAATTATAAAGAGAGGCGAATTCGAACTCAGGTGCAGAGTAGGGAGCACATCCGCCAACTAAGCCCATTGTTAACACTAGAGATGGTTGTTCAAGTTGAAGAACATTTGATGAGAATAAAGGGGCAATAAAATTCTCTATATCTTTTGGCTTACCCTACATGCATTTGATCTTTCCAAATCCAAACTACTGTTATGACCTTATGTATGCCTGCATGAAACCCTTCTAAGTAAAGTACAAAATTAACCCTTGACGTACGTGTAGTTCCAAATCCAAACTACTGTTATGACCTTATATATGCCTGCATGAAACCCTTTCAAGTAAAGTACAAAATTAACTCTTGACGTACGTGTAGTTCCTTGTATATATAATAAGAAGGATGCTGATTATTTTGTTGGTTATGAATTATGTCTAGTGCAATAGTTATAGGGAGCGTTTCAGTCTATACAACGGTGGCAGACTGGCGGCATAGACGTGGATGATTGCATAAGGAATTTTATGTCCAATGCTGCTAGCAATGAAAAAAGGTTAGGCCTTGACACTGAGTGGACTTTTGTCCATGATTCATTAGATTCCGATTCAGAAACTCCATCAAAAACCAAAGTTGCAATTTTAAATCAATGTGATGAAGATTGCTGCCTTATTGTTCAGCTTCCTTACTTAGATTCAGCGCAGCGATCGCTCCTCAATTTTCTTCGTCTACCGGATTATACATTCGTGGGGATTGGGATCAAGGAAAATATAGCCAAGTTGGAGAAGGAGTATGGTTTTGGTTGCAAGAACTCTTTTGATTTGAGGGATTTGGCTGCAAATGTTATGCGGCAACCTCACCTTGCTGCTTGTGGGGTTGATGAACTGGCTCTTGAGCTTAATTTGTTGAAGCTTCAGAAGCCTACAAGTGCGGTTTTTAACGACTGGGGTAATAATAAACTCAACAAAAAACAGGTTAAGCTGGCTACATTAAAGGTTTACGCTTATTTTGAAACTGGGATCAAGTTGGCTGGTAATTCTAGCAGCTAGTATATATGCTGAGGAATAAAGGCATGGGATGGGATGGGAGTAGAATTGAATTTGAAGCGTGCTCCTTTTCTTTTTTGTTGGTGTCTATTCTGTTGTATGTTAGGCTTTGAGTTAAGTACTATTAGCCTTATGATGTTTAAAAGGAGAGCTGGTTTGGCTGATAAAGATGAGCATCAACCGAATAATCCAATGTCAAAATTAACAGTCTACAAAGCTCAACAGTCAAATTTTTATTTTTATGTTTCTTTTAATCACTTGTAAAGTTTTTACATATTATATGAGCTCTAAGTTGTTTTTAAAAATATAATAAATGAATGTGATTATACATTTTAAAAAAAATTTAAAAAAATTCATTTCAAAATGTCGAATTACTACATAAATTATTATTTCTTTTACGGACGACTATTAAAGAACCCCTCTCCTTTTGCTAGTTTGGGCTTTTGAATTTCTTGTTTGTTTGGGCCTAGCCCTTTTTTATGTCAAAGAAAACATCATCAGGTGATGAACTGAAGATTTGGGGGTGATGAAGTGAACAAAAAAAATAAAAAAGAACTGAAGGTGATGAAGTGAACTGTGAAGCTCACTTCGTGTGTGGGACCCAAGCTTATAGGTCTCCAACACGTCAATAGGCACAAACCAATGAGGGCGCAGCCATTGCCGTGTCCCGGACTACCTATTACCTAACACTTGAACACGTCCTCGTTCTTAACTGTTGTTTAAGGCTATGACATACGCACTAGGAAACAAAAACACAAAATAATAAAAATAACAAATATGAAGAATATTCAAAATTTTGATTTTATGATTTCTTGTGTTTCTATTTTACTCCTCTCCTCTCCTACCATTATTTTCATTTTCTGAGAAAAGTGATTCCTGTGTCTGATTCTGATTCTGTTTGCGTGCTGACCTGAGATCGCCAAACCGAACCATGGGTTTCAGCGGTTCTTCTCGTTCACTCAAGGTACTATCTATTTTCCCTTTGATAATATTTTTTTTGGGCATTTCGTTGCTTTTGTTTGCTGGCAACAATTTGATGCAGAATCCACTTTTGTCATTCTGGTACTTCTGTTTCTACAGTTCTACTACGCAACTACCGTTTTCATTGTTTTTATTTTCATTGCTCCGGTTGTTTCTTTTGGGTTTGTGGTAATGGTACACTACAGTATTATATGACTTGTGAGCCTCAGCTGGGTAGTATCAAGTTAGGGGTTTCCATTTTTTGATGTTCATAGTTTGGTTGTTTCATTTTCCTTTTGTTCCTTTTTTATTTAAAAATTTTGTATCACATTTGACATCTTTAATTTTAAACATGTTTCAACAGCACCATATGTCTCTTTTCTTTCTTCTATGAACATTGAATCTTTGGAGCCGGTGCAAATAAATGAGCAATTTTGATTTCCTTTGCAGAGTTCTGATTGTTACTGAGGGTTCAATGTGGTTCTTCGAGAATTCTAGGCTTATTACAACAAGGAGTTACATCTGAAGTCATAAGCTAGAAGGGGTATTTTTGAAACTTCAGTTGAGCTTAAAGGGTTGTCCTACTTTGCTTGGAAGGATTCATATGGCTCCCAGAGAAGAAGGATTTGAATTAGACCTTGAAAGTGGAGGGAGTACTAGTGAAGAAGATGCAAGCTTAGAGCTTGTTTCAAGCAAAGGACCAAAAAAGAAATTCTTGAGTAGTGATTTGGGTGGGTTACTGAGTTCCAATGAATCAGTTGTGTGTACATGTGGCATTGAATCATCTAGCAGTTCAGAGAAATCTGGTGAGGTTACAAATGACAGTGTGGAGTTACTAATAAAAAGGAATTCAGAAGTGGAAGAGAGTCAAGGACATATGACCCTTGCAGAAAAGACGAGTGAGAATGAGTGGCGTAGGAAGACCAACTCTAGGAATGCTCCTAAGCCACCACGACCTCCTAGAGGTCCATCACTGGATGCCGCTGACCAGAAGTTGGTTAGGGAAATCACTGAGCTGGCCAAGAGAAAGCGTGCACGAATTGAGCAAAGGAAAGCAGCGAAGAAGATGAAAGCATCAAAGTCATCATCTTTACAAAGTGGCATATCTGCTATGATCATCACATTACTGTTCTTCTTCGTCATAATCTTTCAAGGTAGATTGGCTTTTCAGCATTTAATTGAGTCCTTTTCCTTCCATTTTCTTCTTTTTGTGTGTTATACTATATTTAACGGATATTACATTCCCATTCGGTTTTGTTACTTATAAGCTACATCTGATGATTTAACAGAACTTTCAAAAAAGTTTTATTCTGATATGAAAAATAAAAGAACAGAACCCTGATGATTTGTTTATCCCTATGAAACATTGTATTGATACTTGTGTACAGAGCATTCTCATTGAGCATTCAGGTTTGGAGTATCCATTTGCGGTTTTAAGCAGGAATCCTGAAGCAGCTCTTTAAGTGGTTTCACCTAATTCTTTTATGGCTGCGGCTCTTTCTTTATTTCATTGGTGGTCTTATTTCGTTTTTGGAATTTCTTTTGCTATTTGCCTATTGGACCATAAGTTTTGATTTTTGTTCGACTCAGGGTAATTTGAGTACAAAACAGCTAATTGAAGATGGAAAGAAAGAAAGGATTTTTTTTTTAAAAAAAAAAAAATCTTCACTAGCTAGGGTCTGAGTTCATCTGAAATCTCATGTACAATGCTGTAGACGAGCCTTCTTAATGTTGCACTCTATAAATCCTCCCACAGCAGATTTTAATATAACTCTCTTGTGGCTTTGAGAATGCGATTCTTTGAGTTCGTATAATTTACAGTTCCATAACAAAATCTTTTACCCTTACTAGTATTTTGATGTTACAGAAGCCTACTCAAACATATTGGGATTCTTTGTTGTTAATATGTTAGTGGCTTACTGAAAACTCCAGTTTCTTTAACTTCATTACTTCATCCTCCTACTCCTCTGCCTCCGCTGGAGCCACTTTTTTTGAATAATGACAAAAATGATAGTGAAAGAGATCATTTGCTGAAATGATAATTCTCCACTCTTACTATCACTCACTTTAGAAACAAAATAACCCCCATCATTATCTGAAAACTGTCCACAGTCCATCAAGGAGATAATCAGAGTGAGAAGAGTAACATTTTCCATACTTTGTGCAATAATTTCGGGGATTCAGTGAGTTTATTGTTAGGCTAACCTGAATAGCTCTACTCAATGATTTCTGTAATTACATCTGAATGTTTGTTGAACTTCTGCTGTAGGGATAAGTTCCAGAAGCGTTCCAAATGTGATTATGCAGGGGTCTCCTGAGCCAGCAGTCGTAACTGAAGGTTTAGTCTCAGTTCAATTGTACAAAAGCAGCCTTCCCAATTCTACTTATCAAGGGTGTGTATTCGTTTTCCCTAGGTTCATGTTTTACGGTTTTATCTCGTCTTTCAAGGCTCTGTAACTAAAAGGTCCAACAACTTTAGTACTCTGACTCATCCCGTCCTTCCCCACTTGGGTGTTTCGTGTTAATGCAGTGTTGTTGAAGACTAGGTTTCTTTGTTCAGGCACCGGTGAAGAGATTACGTTTTGCTGCTATGAAAACTCTACATATTTGTTTTCTCCCCCATTCTTTACTTATGTCGCAGCAGTGCGTGGCTATCTTTTTCTTTTGTATTTATGTACGGGCCTATAACTGCAAGAGATTTTGAGAAAGTTTTCTTGTACAGCGAGTTAATTTGTTCGGTTAATGAATGATTTTACTAATGAGAAATGAATTGTTTGTGCTCAATTAGTAGAAGTCACAACTCCAAGTCATGAATGAAAAGAAGTCTCGATGATACTTTGTTGCAGAAGTTACGAAGTAAGGATTTGAGTGTCCAAATCCGGGCTGTTAGTAAGTCACTCGGATTATTTCATTTTTCTATCTCTAAATACATCTGCAACTTTCCACGATTCTTTAATTTCAGACTCCAAGCTGAATCCAAGACTCAAAAGATGAACTATACCTTATGTGACAAAAATGAATGGAGAAATGGCTATGTTTTTCTACTTATGCCATTGATTTTTCTTTTCCTTCTTGTTTTTGGAGGATTTGTATGAGAACGGTGATGTAGGGGAAGCCTTATCGTTGGGCGGCTATGTACTAGTTTTGGGTCTGTGAATATGAGTGGGTGAGGTGAGAGGTTTTGGGTCTGTTTTGGTTTGAGAAATGAGGGTGAGAGGTTGCTCTGCTTGGATTTTAGAACTGTGGGTGAGATTATTATGAAATAGATCTATCTATAATCTGGCTTTGTAGTGTAAGGCTGCACTTCTTGTAGGCTTAAAAGTACCTGAGAAATTAATTGCTCAACAACCCCAGTGTTCCTCATATGGCTCCCAGAGAAAAAGGATTTGAATTAGACCTTGAAAGTGGGGGGAGTACTAGGAAAGAAGATGCAAGCTTAGAGCTTGCTTCAAGCAAAGGACCAAAAAAGAAATTCTTGAGTAATGATTTGGGTGGGTTACTGAGTTCCAATGAATCAGTTGTGTGTACATGTGGCATTGAATCATCTAGCAGTTCAGAGAAATCTGGTGAGGTTACAAATGACAGTGTGGAGTTACTAATAAAAAGGAATTCAGAAGTGGAAGAGAGTCAAGGACATATGACCCTTGCTGAAAAGACGAGTGAGAATGAGTGGCGTAGGAAGACCAACTCTAGGAATGCTCCTAAGCCACCACGACCTCCTAGAGGTCCATCACTGGATGCCGCTGACCAGAAGTTGGTTAGGGAGATCACTGAGCTGGCCAAGAGAAAGTGTGCACGAATTGAGCAAAGGAAAGCAGCAAAGAAGATGAAAGCATCAAAGTCATCATCTTTACAAAGTGGCATATCTGCTATGATCATCACATTACTGTTCTTCTTTGTCATAATCTTTCGAGGTAGATTGGCTTTTCAGCATTTAATTGAGTCCTTTTCCTTCCATTTTCTTCTTTTTGTGTGTGATACTATATTTAATGGATATTAGATTCCCATTCGGTTCTGTTACTTATAAGCTACATCTGATGATTTAACAGAACTTTCAAAAAAGTTTTATTCTGTTTTGAAAAATAAAATAACAGAACCCTGATGATTTGTTTATCCCTATGAAACATTGTATTGATACTTGTGTACAGAGCGTTCTCATTGAGTATTCAGGTTTGGAGTACAGAGCATTCTCATTGAGTATTCAAGTTGAAGATGGAAAGAAAAAAAGTGTTTTTATCTTCATTAGTTAGGATCTGAGTTCATCTGAAATCTCATGTATGATGCTGTAGATGAGCCTTCTTCTTTTTTTTTTTTTTTTTGAAAAGAAATGATGATATATTGCAATAGACAATACGATTACAGGAAAATGCATGTGGCTAAGAGAGGCTTCTTAATGTTGCACTCTATAAATCCTCCCACAGCAGATTTTAATATAACTCTCTTGTGGCTTTGAGAATGCTATTCTATGCTAAGTTTGTATCATTTATAGTTCCATAACTAAATCTACTACCCTTACTAGTATATTGATGTTACATAAGCCTACTCAAATATATTGCAATCCTGATGCAGGACGCATATGACCTAAATTTATTAGTTTCCTAATGTATTTGTTAGTTTCCTAGATTCTCTAGTTTTCCCAATTCTAGTAGGATTTCCTTTACTGTGTTAGTTGTTTACTGAAAAATCCAGTTTTCTTTAACTTCACTACTCATCATCCGGCTCCTCCGATGAAGCCAATTTTTTTGAATAATGACAAAAATGATTGTGAAAGAGATTGTTTGCTGAAATGATTTTACTCCACTCTTACTATCACTCACTTTATAAAGAAAATGACCATCATTTTCTGAAAACTGTCGTCAGTCCATCAAGGAGAAAAGCAGAGTGAGAAGAGTATAACATTTTCCATACTTAGTGAAATAATTTCTGGGATTCAGTGAGTTCATTGTTAGAATCAGTTTTCGTAGTGACTAACCTAAATAGCTCTACTCAATAATTTCTGTAATTACGTCTGAATGTTTGTTGAACTTCTGCTGTAGGGATAAGTTCCAGAAGCGTTCCAAATGCGATTATGCAGGGGTCTCCTGAGCCAGCAGTCGCAACTGAAGGTTAGTCTCAGTTCAATACTACAAAAGCAGCCTACCCAATTCTACCTATCAAGGGTGTGTATTCTTTTTCCCTAGGTTTCATGTTTTACAATATTATCTCGTCTTTCATGGCTCTGTAACTAAAAGGTCCAACAACTTTAGTACTCTTTCTCACTCCTTCCTCCCCCACTTTGGTGTTTCTTGTTAATGCAGTGTTGCTGTAGACTAGGTTTCTGGTTCAGGCACCGGTGAAGAGATTATGTTTTGCTGCTATGAAAACTCAATACATATTTGTTTTCTTCCCCCATTCTTTACTAATGTCGCAGCAGTGCGTTGCTATCGTTTTCTTTTGTAAATATGTACAGGCCTATAACTGCAAGTGATTTTGGGAAACTTTTCTGGTACAGCGAGTTAATTTGTTCAGTTAATGAATGATTTTACTTGTGAGAAATGAATTGCTCATTTGTTGCTCAATAGTAGAAGTCACAACTGCAACTCATGGATGAAAGTAAAGTTTGCAGAAGTTAGGAAGTGGGGATTTGAGTGGCCAATTCCAGGCTGTTAGCAAGTCCCTCGAACTATTTCAATTCTCTCTAAATACATCTGCAACTTTCCATGATTCTCTAATTTCAGACTCCAAGCAGAATCCAAGACTCAGAAGATGAACTACGGGTTTATATGACAAAACAAACAGAGAAATGGCTATGTTTTCTATTTATGCCATGGACTTTTTTTTGTGTGTGGATGATTTGTATGAGAACGGTGATGTAAAGGAAGCCTCTTCGTTTGGGCATTATGCACTAGTTTTGGGTCTGTGAATTTGAGTGGGGGAGGTGAGAGGTTTTGGTTTGGGAAATGAGGGTGAGAGGTTGCTCTGCTTGGATTTTAGAACAGTGGGTGAGATTATTGTGAAATAGATCTATCTATACTCTGGCTTTGTAGTGTAAAGGCTGCACTTCTTGTAGGGTTAAAATTGCCTGAGAAATCAATTGCTCAACAACCCTAATGTTCCCCAAACCAATTCTCCACACTTATTCTTTCATCCCAATTCCCCAACTTCATAGAGATGAAAGTGCCCTTAAAAGAATATCATTTACTGACGTATCAAGGCCCCTGATGAATAAGGATGGGGTGAAGCAATTGTTAATAATACAGAACGACATAATTTTCATACGAGAAGTGAACAAAAACGAAACAAAATATATTTATGAAGATCAATTATGAACAATAAACATACGTCAGCGTACATACACTGGTTTATTCTACAGAGAACCTATAAGGAATTTACATGTTCTTTATCAAATCTGGTTCATATGGAACACCTGTTAAGGGGATCCATGTGTCCCCATTTATGAATTTCCGCACTGTAAACTCGGTAGCCTCTTCATAGCTACGCATCACCTTGTACCCCTTCCAATGGACTCTGTCAGACATGTTTGCACCAGGTCCTCGGTTATTATATTCTGCATAACTAATGGTGCCAAGTAGTGATCTGCCATCCCAATCCAACCAACCCATAGGATCAATTAGCTTGTCTAGGGTACTTTGCATGACAATTGTTGTGGAGTAGTTTGACCATGGTCGGCCCAAGTACATCTTCACTGGAAAACCTGAAGCACGACGGTCTGGTGTTGCACTGATAGTGCAATTGTGAATGACAGTCCCGCTGTCCCCTGTTGCAGGGTCTCTATTTTGTGCAGTTATTGTGATTGACTGCCCCTTCAAAGGTCGCTGACCATATATGTTACAATTTTGAAATATAACTTTAGCGTGACTAAAAATAAAATCAACTGTACCGTATATGTCACACTCTCTGAAGAATTGGCTGCCTTGGTTTGCAAGCAATGTGTCTTGATAACCAACAATTTTGCATCTGTAGAAGACACAAAAATTGGATTGGCTTCGTAATGCCACTGCTTGCCCACTTTCTGGCCCAGCTGTATTTTGGATAGTCATGTCTTGTGCAACAAAGCCATCACCATCTATTGCTGTTCACAAAATAGAATTAAGAATTAGTAAGATAACCAATTTCCAAAGAAATGATCAGGTTCCATAGTTATTATTCTAAGGCTTTGTTAGGTATCCATGTAATTAGTGTGAATTAGAATTATAGAGGACTTACCAAATGTTGCTGTCTCAAATGTATGGAAACCTCCAGCATTACTTTTGTTTCCCGATATTATGGTGTTGTCTCGTCCATCGCCTACAATTGTTATGTTGGTCTTCTCAACTCCGATAAAAATCGTCTCGTTATAGTGACTAGCTTTGATCTTAATGTAGGTGCGATTGGAGCTTTTTGAAGGTATAGCGTTGATAGCATCAGTGATTGTGGTGAAGTGGCCGGATCCATCTTGAGCCACAACTACATCAAAGTGTAGTGTGGCTTGTCCATTGGCCTTCCAAGATGATATGACCAAGGTGATCACCACTATGATGAAATTGACCAATGAATTCATAATTGAAGCCTACAATGTGTGATTGCAAATATTGAAGAAGAAGAAGAAGTGAAGTTTGATGAAAAGGGAAGAAGAGCTGAACTTTGATATTAAATAGAGAAACAATGCAACAAATGATATACAATGTGTTTGCAAATGTGCATATTTATAAAGAGACAGAGATAAAAGGATAGAAGCAATGCCACAACAAATGATAGGATCCCATGTTCGTTTTCTTCTTGCTTTCACAATTAGAATCACATTTACAAATAGCAATGAGTCCATTTTCAAATCAAGTTCACTAATTGCCAAGTACACTAAGCGGGTTCACATTCACAAGTAGCAAGTCCATTTTCAAATAAGTTCTGGGGGAAGGGGGGTAAATTACTTAAAAGAAAGAACCACTAACAATTTCAGTTATTCGATGTTTGAAATGCAATAGGTTTATGTGTTTACTCCAACCAAAAAGAAAAACTTAATGTTTGATGTATTTGCTCACCCCACTTTTCCATATTATCACAACACTAACGCAACCTAAAAACGCGTCATTACACAAGATAATGATCTCTATTTTCTCAGCCTAGTCTATTGTATATATATACATCTAATACAAGTATACTTTTAAATGGTAAACAAGCTACGTACTGTTGCAATGTGTACATGTTTTACTTGGAATCTAATCCAACTAATGATATAGGACTTTCTATATTGCTCTAGGAGCATGAATTCACGTTCTATATTGGGAGTAAGAAGAAACTGAATTGGTGGAATCTATGAACTTGATGACGAGAACAAATATGCTCTTCACTTAATTGCGTGGTGAGCACCAATACACGAGACACTATTTTCTTGCCGTATGTAGGTGGAATAACTAGGGCTAATTACATTTAGGCTTAATTTCTCCATTGTCCTAATCTCATCACTTTGCCTTGTGAAAATGATATTGACTTACTTTTAGGCTAGCAATAGGATATACTGGCCTAACCTAGATATATAACTAAAAGGAGTATTTTAAGTGGTAATGAAGCAACCTTGCGGATGTGAAAAATATATGTAAGCTTCGGTTTTCATAAGTAAAAATACTAATTGTCCCTTTGCATGGTAATTATCTTCTACTATTTGAGTGGGCAACCACTTAGCTAGGCTAGCAATAGGATATAGTGGTCTAACCTAGATATATATTACTAAAAGGGGTATTTAAATGGTAATGAAGCAACCTTGCGAATGTGAAAAGTACTCATATGTACCATGCCATTTTCAAATGTGAAAAATACACATGTACCATGCCTTTTTCAAATGTGAAACTATGCTGTAACAAAGAACAAGAAAACCCAATTTTAGAAAACCCAATTTGGTAGACAATGTGGTGGAATCTATTAACTTGACGAGAACAAATGCTCTCCACCTTAATTGCATGGTGAGCACCAATACCATACTATTTTCTTGGAATAATTAGGGCAAATACATTTCCGCATAATATAGTCCGAATCTCACTTTGACTCGTGAAAATAATCTTGACTTACATTATTACTCTGTGAGATTACATACATCTGTCACTCAACCTCTTGATGACAAACCTATTAATTAATCCATTAAATATGTTGACATGGAATGGCCAATGGTTCCCACCTTAGTGGTGAGGTCTTCCCCGTTCCCCATGGCACCCAAGATCGAATAAGGATGGTAATTTTATTCACGGCTAAGAGTCTTCGTGGGGCTTCGATCCTAATGGGTCGAGTATGAATGTTAAAAAATGAGTATGCGGACAGGTTCGGGGAATTTTTATGATAAGGTGTTCGGGGAGGGGCGTGGATGATATTTTAATCTTGAACCTGAACCCGCCCTGTTTATAATATATATATATATATATATATATATATATATATATTATACAAAGATATTATTAAAGTGATTGTGCCGACCAAATTTTATATATTTATTTAATTTATATGAATCTTTAGCCACCCTACTTAACCTCCAATCAATATGTAAACATTCTTATATATTATATATATTCATTATCTTGACCTAATCCTATTGTTTATAAATCTTACAGTCGACATCTAGGGTAGTTTTGACATGCATTAATTTTTTTATATAAAAAAGTTAGTTAATAAAAATTGAATTGATACATATGTTTTGCTTGTAGTGTTTTTTTTTTCTCGTTCAACAAAATAGTTATTATTGGTTTTTTCTTCCATAATGGGGCGGGTCAGAGAACCTTTTCTCCACGAGTTTTGCGCGACAGAATTTGCGCGACCAAAATTTCGTCGCGCAAACTTTGCGCGACGAAATTTTCCTTTGCGTGACCAAAAATCATTCGTCGCGCAAAGTGGTTTTTGTAGTAGTGCCTTCCCCCTCCCCCGGCGGTCAATTTAACTAAAAAATATGTTGACATGGAATGATCAGTGAGGTCCAATGTATTCTTACATGTATGCCCGGTGGGCGCCACATGGACATAAGTAATTTGAACATAAATAATTGATTATTCTCTTCCCAATTTTACTCATTAATCCCAACACAAGGATTGATTGACAATAGGCCTAGTAAACAGGTCGTGTTTGTCGTGTTTGTATCAATCCTCTTTTCTTAATGGGTTAATACGACATGATCCATTACATTAACGGGTGGAAAATAAAAAATACGAACACAATCCGTTAACATAACAAATGACACAACAAGACCCGCACCCGTTAAGAATTAAAAAAAAAATAAAGAAAGTAATTAAAAAAAGAAAACTGAAAAAATAAATAATAAAAAAACTCATAGAAGAGTTAGGGAGGGGAGAAGGAAGATAATAAAGGAGAAAAAAGAAAAATAAAAAGAAATATAAAATTGCAAAACTACTTACTTGCAACGGGTGATAACAGCTATTCGCGAATTCAAATGACACGACTCGTTAGCTTAACATGTACTAACGGATCCACCCATTTTTAACACGACCCATTAAGCGCCAACCCGAATATTGATTTTTTCATGCCAATTTGTGTCGTGTTATAGGTCTAATTGATAACATAAAGGATCCGAATCCTCTCCTTGGATTTCTCTGCTAGGATTTGCTGTACTTTTATTCTCCAATGTGCCATCTCATTTAAATCAAATACTACGGCTTAAGTACTTTTTTTGACAAAAAAAAATCTTATATACTTGAATTTTTTTTTTTGCCTAGAGAGACTAAATTCAACGTTTATACATCCTTTTTTTTATTCTTTCTTATTTCTTTCAATGAAGCATCTCCGAAAATCTGAAGATAGATACATTATTTCTTTCTCACCTCACAATTTCTTTTCCCCCATCAAAATTAGTTCTTGGCAAAACCAAGACGCTAAGGGTTGCAAATCAGATATCAGAACCGGGACTTTAAGGGTTGCAAATCCTATATCAAAACCAGTGCTTGCCAATTTCTTATCAAAACCAATTCCAGCCAATCCTTGGAAATCCAATCCCCAATGTGCAGTTTCGCAAACAATTACCCGTATGTCAAGCTCTATGTCTCAAGTATGTACTCTAAACCCAACTCTTGATGAGAACCAAAAAACAGATTATGGGCGAAACATATAAAGGATATTACTCACCAATATTGATCAAAATAAAGTTGTGGCCACCACCAATTAGTTTTGCAATGAGAACAAAAGTCAAAGTTTCAATTGGCGGGAAAGAGTGATAATTGCATAAGTGTTCATGTTTTGAACACTACGATGCCCCTGGTTTCTAGCAGGCTATACTTTGGCTGCTATAGTTACTTGCTAGTGAAGAAAGTGAAGAGAAGAGATATCTAAGCCCTAGAGTGGGCTCAAAAGCTGCTCTTTATGAATTGCGATAAGTGTGCCACTACTAGTGTTTTACTCCTTGATCGGTTCATAATTGTATATCATTTTGTACCCTTCTAGCTTATGATTTGGTTATGTTATTGAGTTAAACTTGTGCTTTTAATCCATTTTCTGTTTTGATAAGTCCATAATTTCATACACTTGCTTGCCTTCTTTACTTAGTGATTTTGCTTAGTTTCTCTTTATTTTGAGTCACTTACCTCTATTTGTGTGTTTTGTAGGTTAAGATAGCAAGAGATCACATTTGATGCAATCCATGCATGTTAAGGGCTGATTGGCAAAGAGCAAGAGCTTAAAGACAAAACCAAAGTTGGGCCATACTTCTTGTCAGTCCAGTTTCGTAAGTCACCTTGCAGGTCTCATTTCAGCAATCTGCACAACTCGGATGAGGAGATTGTTCCATTGGGTGTGTACTATAACATATCCAAATTTCAGCCCAATTGAACATATGTGGAGTCCTTAGCCCGTCCAATACTGAACCATGCTCAGGAGGATTTGCAGCTGCCAGCTTTGAGCCTTGTCTCCTCCTTTAAGCCATGTGCCTCACCCATGCTGCAACTGACTTTGGATCCAACATAATGAGTGAAGTGGGGAGGCATTCCAGCTATGAAATTCTAAAGGAGCAAGTTGGTACATGCTGGAGTTATTATAGAGAAAGCATGTGCATGCATGTAAAGCAAAGAAATGAAATGAAGTCAATTCCAGTCTCTGTTCGGCAGCCAACTTGCAAGGCCCAAAACGCACACTTCTACTGCTCCGATGGGAATACTTTCTCCATAGAAGTTGTTCCAATGGGTGTCTAGTATAACATATCCAAATTTCAGCCCAATTGAACATGTCTGGAGTCCTTAGCCCGTCCAACACTGAACCATGCGCAGGAGGATTTGCAGCTGCCAGCTTTGAGCCTTGGCTCCTCCTTTAAGCCATGTGCCTCACCCATGCTGCAACTGACTTTGGATCCAACATAATGAGTGAAGTGGGGAGGCATTCCAGCTATGAAATTCTAAAGGAGCAAGTTGGTACATGCTGGAGTTATTATAGAGAAAGCATGTGCATGCATGTAAAGCAAAGAAATGAAATGAAGTCAATTCCAGTCTCTGTTCGGCAGCCAACTTACAAGGCCCAAAACGCACACTTCTACTGCTCCGATGGGAATACTTTCTCCATAGAAGTTGTTCCAATGGGTGTCTA